TCATGGAAATGGAAAATAATGGAATTATATAAACGAAGCTAGAAAGTTGTGTGAGTAGTAACTTGATACGCTTATGAGCAATTAGAAATTGTGCTCGAAAAGTGGTAATCAGTAAATATTACTGTGGATGTAACACTGTTAGACTTTATCAAAATAAATTTCATCCACAATGGAATTACTTTAAATAAGGGTGTATAGTGATTTGTTATTATGTTGGTGTAAATTCGTTAGTCGAATTTACATTACTGAGATTGCTGGTCAATTTGATTCATTTGAGTAAGGTATATTGAACCAAATTCGTCATCTATTTGCCAAATACACGATTAGAAGTGAGAAATTACTTGAGTTGCCTTTGGAAATCAAAAGTTTATTAAGATTGTGTCTTACGGTTCACTTGATACTAGAAATGGTAATCATGAAAGCAAGCACAGTCGCTTGACAAGTCAAAAATGTGTAGTAGTGCGAATGAAAAATTTCATTTAGTGTATTGCTAATTCGCTAGCCGGAATTCAGCCGCCTGATATCACTCACTCACTCTGGGCACACTGTTGACCACTTGATCTGCCAACAGCGGAAATAGTCGCCTATTGTATAGGTTACTTCGACCGAACACGGTTTAACGTGATTAGTTTCCAACTATGCGTGTAAGTCAGTAGTGTGTATACCTGCACGCTATATCAACTTTAGGTTGGGTTTCCACGATTGGTTAGAGTTGTTTGTTTAATTCGATGGGTAAAGATTCTTTTTATTCCAGCGTCTAACTCATGTTTACTGGAGATATGTTTATGGCTTATGCAAGTTGAACTGAATCTCAACTGCCAAAGGGTACTATTTCCTTACTGCCGTTTTTGATAAAGTTAATTAGTAACACTAGTAATGTTATGTCATCGCTTTGTGAAGCAGCATTCACTATATTATCCAGGGTGACATTGAAACGTTCGTCAAGTAAAACTTCTAGATGTTAACCCGAGCTTTTAGGTTAAAATCTACTTTACATTTCTCCAAATTTTATTCTAATCTATCCCGTAATACCGTTGAAATGGATTCTTTTCAATAGAAGAATATATCGCCAAATGAGTATTCGCAAAATTCATAGTATACAATGTAGAATAACAGACTTAAACTTGATCGGCTTATTCAATTTCTTGTGAGCTGAAGATCGTTTATTATGGCCTAGATCTAGTCACCTTGAGCGTTACCTGCCGAATTCTGTCTGTGACATCCATATGTTTTTTTTACTATCTTATCAGTATATTTATGTCCTCGTGATTGTTTTTTTTGCCCTCTTTTAAAGCAAAGCAGCAAAAAGACCTTGTTTGTCTCGTGTTCAACAACTCAGGATTATATTGAGAAATTAGATGATGAACATATCTGACTTGACTATGTACTCAATGTAGCTGGCTGTATAGGAGTAGTCAAATGCATAGATAAACATAGAGGTGGCGAAATCAAGCAGGTTTTACTTAACTCCTCGGCTGCACTGAATACTCTTTTAGCCGCATTCTTTTGGGTTGTGTTGTTATTTCATTGATGCTATCACAAAGGAACTGAGATCTTTGATATAAGAACCTACAAACTCATTCAGAGACAAGCTCTGTAGGTTAAAGGACCCAGTGGACCCAATTAGACAAAATAATATAATTTACAAAATACCCTGCAATGACTGTGAGGTCAACTACATAGGTCAAACTAGTAGGTCAGAGGTAGTCAGATTGTCAGAACATAAGAATTTAGCTAAGGTAAGAATGGTTGACCCAGAGAAGATAAGTAATTTAGAAAAAAGCTCGGCAATTGCAATGCATGCATTAACACACAACCACACAATAGGGTGGGAGAGGGTTAAAATTCTAAAAAGTAATCTAGGTAGATGGAAAGAGAGGTTGATTAGTGTATCCTTGTTCATCGTATCTACACCCAACACATGCAATAGGAATGGTTCATCACTCATACCCGAAATATGGAAAATATTACTACCAATCGAATCAAGTGAAAAACAATGGAACTATATAAGTGAATTTAGGAAGTCGTGTGATTACCTTGATATGATTATGAGCAGTAATAAATTGTGCTCGAAAAGTGGTCATCGGTGAATATTACTGTATAACAACACTGTGAGACTTTATCAAAATAAAAATTTACCCATAATGGAACTGCGATCTTGTAAACAAGGGCTTCTTTTCAGCTATTCACATATTAGCTTACCCTGGAATTAAATTTTGCCTTCATCTATAAACGTTTCTAGACAGTGATTTTTTAATAATCTTGAATGCATCATTGAGACAATCATTGGGGCAGATTACTCTAGCTCTATGAATTATTATTATTGTTCCCTTGGATTCCTAGTGGAACATAGGGCTTCAACTACACGTCTCCACTTGCTTCTGTCTTCTGCTGTACTTTTCACCTGCATCCATGTTAGTCCATACTGTTTCAACTCTTCTTCACACGATCTCCTCCATGTCACCCTTGGACGTCCCACTCGCCGCTTCCATTTCGGGTTCCACTCGAGCTATGGCCTGACGCGCGATGTCACCCAACGGCCTCCTCAGCGAGTGTCCAATCCATCTCCACTTTCTCCTGCATATTTGTTGGGCGATTGGCTCTTGTTTTGTTTGTTCCCATAGTTTCTTGTTGGTGATTCTCTCCGGCCATCTGATCTTCAGTAGTATAGAGCGAAGACAGTTGTTGATAAAGGTCTGCAACAGGCTGTTGGAAATATTCTTGGTGACCCGTCAAGTTTCTGAACCGTATAGAAGAACTGACTGACTTGACGTTTGTATTGAAAATCCGAATTTTGTTGTTGATGCTGAGTTGAGTGACGAAGATTTCCAGATTGGTTTCAGGTTGATGAATGTGTTTCTCGCCTTCCCGATTCTCGATTTGACATCCTCTTCCGTTCCTCCTGTAGCTGCTAGCTCTATGAATCGAACACTTTATTGAAGTGCGTACCAAGCTCAAAAATGAGTATTCTGACTAGTTATTGTAGGTATTCGATAGGTATTCATTCTGATTATACTGTCCTTTTCCCTAGTCATTAGGATTTCTAAGCATGAAACGCTGTCATTTCTTTCTTTCTCGATAGGAGAATCATAGCGTGGCTGACATCATTACACTTGTCAAGGATACTGTTCATTGTTTCATTCTCGTTCTACTTAATGAAGAACATATTATCTCTCTGACGACAACAGCATACCATTTCATCAATTACACCTTTCAAAGATACATTCTCTGATTTTTCGAGGAAAATGGCAGCTGGAATAAGTCCTAGTGGTGATCCCATGGTTGTAAATGTTTATATACACGTAGCGCCAGACAAATTTATCGGAAAAAGTATTCTCTACTCAATCAGCTTCTGCCTTCTAACTGTGAATTCTGTATACTACTATCAGCAGTTTCAAAAATATCTACAGGATCAATCAATGAGCATTAATCCACACTACCGTTGTGTTTTGCTGACTACAGTGATATAACCGCGTACTTTACGTATAAGGATCATACTTCGCATTCTTTCAAGTAATCTCCAGTATTTGTAATAGTTTCATCAAGGATATTATGCACGTTTATTCAGTGTCATTTCCTCTCCAAATGCCAAACAGTCAATTTCATCTTGAGGCATAAATCCGACCTAAACAAACTGGTTGGCTCTCACGAGGTGTGCAACATAGATGGCACTGAAATAGAAAGCAAATCGGAAAACAAATACCTAGCCGTCATTCTATCTGCTGATCTCTCCTGGTCGTCTCATATCTTGGCGATTTCTAACAAAATATTCTGTCTTACCTTCTACATCAAGAAGTTAAAACATTCTGGTATAACCCAACCCTTACTCCTACAATTCGGTAACTCTCGCATTCCGCCTATTATTCTCTATTGTTCCCCCTTAGTTTTTCCCAGGCTACTGGAGAAAGACTATAACATATTACGCAGAATGTTAAAGATTGTCAGTAGGGTAAGCAACGTGCCACTTAACCAGCTTGTTAATATTCTGGTCAACAGGCACATGGACTCATGTGAAAAATGGGCTAACCCACACCACACTCTTCATTCACAACTCTCCCTTTGCATCTCATCAGGCAAAACCAGAAGCCAATATAGGAAACTATATGCTCTCACCAGCAAGTACAAAAACCCAACCATACCCTACTTGGCTCGTGTTGTGTGCGATAAAGAAAGCACTAGGCGCGACACTTACAATTCATTAAATATTTAGTAGTACAACTGGACCTCGTCTTTCCAACTCATATCATTTATAGGTACAACATTTTCTTTCTTTCTTTTCCTTTTCTCTCTCTTTTTTTCCGTTATGTGCTGCTTAGTTTCTTTCTTTCGCTTACGCCAGTAAATATGATAGCACCTACTTTTCTAACACCTTCAAACACTTTTCAACTTTGGCATCACTATCAACATGCCAATGTGTTGTTGTCATAATGAACTGAGATTTCCTTAATCTATGTAGAATTCTATTTATTGATAATGTACTAACTGGATGCAATACTGTATTAAAAATGCTGAGAATTCCATTCTGTATCACAAGTTCTGTTTTGGAATAAATCATATTATTACTATTATTACTCAAATAAATCTTTACTTTTTCTCCAGCGAACCGTTGAACTTCATTGAAAACTTATTAAATTTTACACTGAAGCTTTTTAACGCATCAACCGGGACTATGAAAACCTGTAATGCCAATGATCAGTTGTTCCAACATCATCATCATCATCTATTGAATGTAGTTATCAAAGTAATTCATTGTGGTCAATATGTGATTCGACGTTCTACAAATTTACATTTTGATAATGTACATCAATTCAATGCCATGTTGGTCAGCGCATGGAATCAAATAGTTGTAAGTCACACCTTTAGTGTTATCTTTGAGTTTATTGTCATTTTGTCATTATCATTAACTGACTGACCGACTGAGTTTCAGTGAAGAAATTCGCAAAGGAGTTCAACAGTTCAAACTGTCACATTCTAGGCACAGAGAGATTATTATTGTTTCCTTTAATTCCTACAGGAACATAGGGCTTCAGCCACACGTCTCCATTGCGTTCGGTTCTCTGCTAGAGTCTTCACCTGGCTCCAAGTCTGCCTAAACGTTTTCATCTCCTCTTCACATGACCTCCTCCAAGTCACTCTTGCACTGACGACCAACTCGCCGCTTCCATTTCGGCCGGGTTCCACTTGAGCAATGGCTTGTCTAGTGATGTCACTTGATGGTTTCCTCAGTTTATGGCCAATCCATCTCCATTTCTTCCTGCTTGTGTGTTTCACAATCGGTTCTTGGTTGGTTCGCTCATTGCCAGAGATCTCTGTTGCTGATCTTTCTGGCCGGCCACCTGATCCTGAGTATTGAGCGAAGACAACTGTTAATGAAGGTCTGTAGTTTGTTTGAGATGCTCTTTATGACGCGCAGTGCAAGTCTCTGATCCGTATAGTAGCACTGACTGACTTCACATTGGAGTTGAAAATTCGGATCTTATATTTGATGCTGAGTGCTGGCTGTTGTCCTCCACACAGACCTGAGAGTAGTGAAAGCTTGTCTTGCTTTTCCGATTCTTGCTTTGATATCCTCGTCAGTTCCGCCTGTAGTTGAAACGATGCTTCTCAGGTAGGTAAAGGAGGTTGTTTCTTTCAGATTTTTTCTCAATTTATGCTGATCGTTGTCTTTTGTTTTTGTTCTTGTTCAGAATTCTTTATCACCTCTGTTTTCTCTGTTCACCTGAAGTCCTATCTTTGATGCTTCTTCTGCCAACTTGTTGCTTTTCGTTTGCATATCTTCGAGTTTGTGGGAAATCACATCGGTGAAGTCCAGATCCTCCAAGTTTTTTGTGTGAGTCCATTTTATGCCTGTTTCCTCATTGCCCACTGTTTGTCACATTATCCAGTCTACTACAGAGAAAGATAAGAGTGCAAAAAGAAACTGAGAACTGTTGCAAGCAGAAATATGCTGGAGAAAGTATAATAACATAGTGAAACAGAAGGATTTCTTAGAGGTGTTGCATTACAACAAGTCGATGAATATTCATCATTCCGAACGGTCTCAAGTCATTGGTTCTTAGCACTATGAAGATCCTAAACAGACAAACTATACCTCTTTGAATGGTCACTCTAAACCACAAGTCAGAGACTTCATGGATTCATCCCTTACTCTTTTCAAAACCAATCCTATATCATCTAACCTTGCTTGGTAGGGATAGCAGTTTCTCGGTTTGCAAAGTGCACATTCTAGCCATCTCAATCGGCATAGTTTGAAAGTGTAACTCAGTGGTTTGTCGTTATGATCGAGACACATTAGACGTTGAACTAATAGTTTCCACTTAATATGTTGTTTCAGTCGGTGGAGTATGATCTTAAATCGTTGTGTACCAAAACTTATCGTATAATAGATTGATAGATATATGCATTGTTGGCATCATATGGTTGAAGGCAATCAGCAGGAAGTCTTGGAACTAGGTTTCGTGCTAGCCAGCACTCATCAGCAGGGCATATCTTCAACCTCAAGGGAACTCATGTCCCTTCTGAAATGTAAACCCACGTCACACAGTGCTGCAGTCAGAGACGTTACCACTGAGCTATTCAGGCAGACGATAGACCTCCTGCCGATTGCCTCCAACCATATAATACCAACCATTCACAGTGCATCGTGATGGCGAGCCACCTAGCATGGTGGCCACATTGCAAGCTTGACTGATAGAATTCAGTCTACACCAAAGGAAGGACTAGACACATTACAATAGTTACTGAATAGCGCCCAATAAAAAAAAAGAAAATGTACATTACTGATGAATTTGGGACTTGGTATTGTTTTGTGGAGGTCCTAGTTGATACATCACTGATTCCTATATTTCCAGGTAGAAGGTATTAAGACAAATAAGGAAGACATGAAGGTCATCTTTTCAAAACGTCTAAAATACTGTAGTATAAGGGTTGGTGTCAGAGGAATGGTGAAGAAAAGAATAAATCTGATTTGTTCAACAAAATGAAACTAAATACAAACAGCCTCCTTCAAGAAGTTAAACCCAAACTTGGAAATTGTCTCTGGTTTAAACTAAAACCAAAATCTTATGTAGCTACAAGATTCTACAGACGACCGAAGGTACATAAACCCACAGTTCCATTAAGATCAGCAATAGATTTTACCAGCTCACAGATTTACAACACCGAGAAATTGATCAAGAAGATATTATGGTAGGCTATGATATATAATCATTATATACTATAGTATTCCCGTCCTCTGTTTGCTGGAATCAGACGCAACCCTATCACAAAGATATTCACTGTGCGTCGGTGGCACAGTAGTTAGGACTCTCGCCGACCATGCACATGGTCCGGGGTTCGATCCTCCGCCGACGCACACCCGATATCTATGGTCGGCCTGCAAAATTTGGGCTACCGATATCCATGCTGAAAATACGGTGTGGCATCAAGCTGTAATCAAAATAAAATAAAAATAAAAAAAATAAAAATACCGATGAAATAATTAAGAGCTTAAAATTCTCTCTGGAAATGAATTATTTTACCTTTAAAGGGAACTTATATAGATAGACAAATAGTGTTGCTATAGGTTCATTGGTTTCCCTAACAGTCGCTGATACTTTCATGAATGGACTTCAAGATGACATCTTTTAAAGCCCACTCACTTTTAAAATGTGGTTGAGAAACGTTGGTGACACTTTTGTTATGTAATCCCTGGTATTTCAGCTTTTCATCTTCATAATACCTCTTTCCATCTATAGAAATCTATAAAATTAATGCGTAGTGGCAATGAAAACGATCGTGAGTGTTCTATCTGCCTTTTTATTACTTCCCAACCAGATCCATCTGCATTCTAGTGAGTAGTGATGTTCCCCTCTGGGACTTGAATGCAAAGCTCATTGATTAGATTAATTCAGTGCTAACTAAACTAATGTAATCTATTCATTTAATGTAGATTTTGATCACGCACCGACATCAATTTGAGTATCATTGAAAGCCAAGGAACGCTAGACACCTGTCTCATAGTAGTTTGGAACTCTTTATCAGCTGTACGCACACCCATGATCCTAATAGGGATCGAACCTAGCCACATATTATGCAACAGATATTTTCTGTGGTCATTTATTTTTTTAATTGGTTAGAGGATTTCATCATGAGCTGACATCGATTAGAGAACCATTGGCAAACCAGCTGGGAGTACTGGATAGCTGCTTCGTCGGCCTGGTTTCAGACCCTTCAGCAGTACGCACCCACATCAAGGGGTTCGAACCCAGGACCACCTTGTTACAAGGCAAGCTAGCTCGTAGACCATTAACCTACTGGGACCCGATCCAAAAGCCAGTCCATGAAATGGCACGACCACTTCGAAATTCCCTCTTCTTCGATGAGTTACTGCCTCGTCTTCAACCTGCAGCACCCTACTGCTCACGGCTTCCTACTAGAATTCCAGGTAACTGTCCAACTGAATAGGGTCAGTCACTAGTGAGTATCAGATCTATTTTCAACCAACCAATCAAACAAAATACCTACAAAACCAATACGTGAAAATTTATTTTTTGAACACGTAATTACTCATTCATCTGTTGTAATTTTCCAACTTACCATTTCATTAATCTGTCTGTATTTCTCTGTTTCATTTTAGAATTTGCAGTCAGCTTTGAATGTTGAGTATGTCCAGTTTTATTACGACGTTTTAACATTTGAGATTTTATGCATTTACAAAAGTATTTTCACTAGTCATATTATTCTACTTGGAGTACTTTTGCACTTTAATACCAAGATATTAGATTCATCATGTGGTCTAAGTTTCTCTTTTCTTTGTGTTTTCCATGGCGTTTCAAAAATGTGGCGTAAAAGATGATGTTAGACCTTAGTTACTATTTTTGAGCAACTGTATGTTTTAATTGGTGGATAGTGACTAGCACTGGAATCCAGGATGCGCATTTCGCCCCATTTGGGACTCGTCAACTGGAAGTACCTGCATTCCGCAGTGAGCGATGTTGTTTTCACCGAGAGTGGAACTCAGTGCCCATAGTTTCAAACGCCAAAGTGTTATCTAATACACTACCTGGGGCACGAGAGCCACCTCTTTTGCAACTGGTCATATTAATTATTCAATTGAATTTTAGATTTTCCTTTCGATTGATTGGACCAAAGTGTTCGGTCTCAGGTTGACATGTCGGCTACTTGTGCATATGCTTCGACGATGTCTAGGCATGTAAGTAGAAGTTAACTGGTGGATGGTGACTAGCAGTAGTAGTGGAATCCAGGATGCGCATTTGGGTTCAATCAATCGACGGTAAAATCTAAAATTGAATTAAATAACTGTATGTTTTGATTCGAATGAGTTTAAGTTTTGTTAAGACATCATAGAAAGTGGCTCCAGACAAATTAGTGCACACTGGACTTTTCCATGAATCGACATGAGTTAAACAATCATTAGAAACTGTGGTGTACTGCTGGATAGGTGTTTTATCCTAGTTTTAGGCTCTTCACCTGGATGCTGTCACATGCATGACCCACTGGAGTATCAAACCAAAGTGTATAGGAGGGAGTCAGTTCAGGTATTTCTTGATCGACAGCCGTTTTGTATTCGTGAACATGGAAATACGACACTTTGTGATACTTTACACGGTGATTCACATCGCCACTGAAATATTTTATTAATTTGAAGTTACACGAAACTTTGGCGACATGTCAAGGAACAGGTAGACATGTTTTCTACTCGTTCAGGATCCGCATGTAAACTACTAGTCGAAAGTGATGTAGTGTTGTTCGATGTGAAGAATGACATTTTTTCTTCCCTCATTCTTTCAAGAAGGCCGTAGTAGTAGATTGAAAGCACGGAATATACACATTTAATCGTAGGGAATAATAAAAAGAAGAAAATTTTCTTTTCGACGAAGTCACCAACTAGGCTGTACATTCGTGAATTCATAATGAATGGGTGGGAAAGTTCCAGAATAATTTCCAGTCAAGTGTCAACTTAATAAAATTAGAATTAGGAATAAACAGGGGGATGGATAATACTCAAACAAAGTAGTACCATAATTACTGAGACGATTGACATGTTGTGCAATTAGGGGGTTAGAAATGTAGAAATAACAAAGTAGATAGGATGTTTGGATAGTCAAATCTAGTGGGATCATAACTAATGCGGCGAATAATTGTTTATGCAATTAGGGATTAAGTATGTAGAAATAATAAAAAAATGACAAAATAGACAGGGAGTTCGGATATGAAAATATGGTAATACAAATAAGGATTATGAAAAACTTAACATGAATAAACAGGAAGTTTGGATAAGAAAGGCGATGGGATAGTCACTAGTAAAAGAATTACCTGTTTATGATGGTCATTGCAAGGACAAGGGTTGGACGTATTTTTTTTGGATACATAGCGTGGGTTTGAATTTATGGATGGCTAGTGCCTCGGCTGTGCCCAAATGTCTTAATTTTTCTCCCTTTGATTGGTTTGATTGAGTCTTCTACATTATTTGAAGAATTTTTCGAATGGCGCTGAATGTCCTGAATTGACTAGATGTTCTGTCACTGAACTATATACACGTTTTCGTTCTCCTTTTACAAGGCAGGCTGGATAGTGTTCACGAGCGCGTTTTTCCAGTTGGCGCTTGGTACGGCCGATGTACTCAGCTCCGCACGAGGAAGTAAACTGGTATATGTACGTTGAAGTGGCCCAATGCGACAGCTTGTCTTTAGCGTTCTGGCAGAACCGTTTTTTTTGCAGGAAAACGTCAGTCATAGGCTCGAGGAAAAATATGTTTTCCTCAGAGAATTACAGAGGCGTTTACGAAGGATTTCCGCTTCAATGTCACCTCTGAATTCTAGATTAAGCAGAAGTATCTGATCAGAACGGACTGGACTTGTTTGGAAGTCTTCTTTGATTTTAGATTCTTGTCTATGAACCTGGTCGGAAAACCGTTTTCCATCAGGGTTCCTCGGAGACTACGTAGTTCCTCGTCAGAATTGTGTATGACTTTATGTAGCGATCTTAGCACATAATTGTATGGCTAAAACGATATGAAATAGCGAAATGTCGATAAATTATACGGAATAGCAATCTGGACGGGCAAATGATTAAAGCAGCCCACTCTGGTGACTGTTCGGTTATCTATCGGATATATACCATTCTCAAGTGATGGCTTTCAGGTATTTAACTAATTAGAAGACTGTTCATGAAATCACGCTAGCTGCAGAACCAATGAAAACCAGGGAATACTAAACAGTTGTTTCGTCATCATTCCGGACTCTTCAGCACTACACACCTGTAATTCCACCATTTGTCTAGTACTTCGTGATTTTCAGCAATTCTCTGAATGAAGTCAATTCTTGATCCATTTCGATATATGCTATTCTAAACAAAATTTATTTTCATACAACTTTTCAGTGCTTTCACTTATTCCAATATCTTTTTCTTTTATTCTATTATCTAAATTAGCCCCAAACTACACGATTCAATATGTGGAGAATTTTTATCAAATTTAAAAGACTGTCTAATTCATTCACTTGGCTATCCAGTTGGAATTGAATCATTGAGCAGTGCAAATCTATTAACGCACTGTATAGACTACTTACAAAAGTATCTTGTCAGTCAGTGTAATGTAAGTATAGATGTGCTTGTGTATGCGTCTATGTGAGTGCCTCACATTTTCATCTGTTAAGGCTGTGAATTACTATCTTTCATTGAAATCATTTATTTGAATAATGTAATGCGCAAAGTTGAACAATAATGATCCAATATAGCGGAAATATTCATTCAGACATCTAGAAAAAACGAGAAATTGAACAGAGAATATCCTTCTCGATAATTTCCTCTTCTGGCTCTACAATTATATATATATATATGTTTATGTTTATGTACATAGAATATTCTACAATAGTTGTCAATAACAATATTGGTGGGTTTTAAATAATATCGATTTGTTAAGTAAGATCAGTGGAATTACAGTTTATTAAAGATGCATAAATAATAATAACAAAGATATAGTAGCAAATAGAATATCAATAAAAATTAGGAAAATTCCACAAAATTTCAGGATCATTCAAGCCTAGATGGCCAAGGTAAGGACAATGTCTGAACTGGCTTCTTTTGGACAAATAAGTTAGGCTTCTTTAGTGTGGATCCCAACAGCCAGCCTCAGCAATATGTAGTAGACAAACTCTTAAGGTGAATTTAAGATTTGTTGGTATGCAGTAGATGACTTTGAAAGCTTCATTGACATCAGTCTTTTGTTCTACATGTTAAACATGTAGAAGAACTGACTTAACACTGGTGCTGAATATCTGAATCTTGTTCTTTCTGTTGATTGCAGCAGATTTCCAGACTTAATTCAGATTAATGAAAGTCTGCTTTGTCTTTATATTTCTGGCTTTGATATCTTCACCACTATCGCCTGTGGTTGAAACTATGCTGGTCACTCCAGGTAATTGGAAGAAGTGACTACCTGCGAATTCCTCCTGTTGATAGAGATTAGTGCTGGCTTTTTTCATTTCTGTCTCCTTTGTGTTCACCTGAGGTCCTGTCTTTGCCAACCCTTCTAAGCGAACTTCTTGGTTTTCACCTGTAGATCGTCAGGGGTATATGGCACTAGGCATATAACATCTACAGTATCCAGATTTTTTTTTCAAATCTTCATATCTGTTCAAAGTACGCCTCTCTGAGCCCAAATAGCTCATTGGTAACGCCTCTAACTGCAGCACTGGGTGACGCAGGTTCGAATCTCAGGCGACGAGGATATGAATTTCTTCAAGCGTGCGGATACACCTTGCTGAATGGTCAGTGGTAACTAGTACAAAACTTAGGTCAAGCCAGGCTTCCTGCCGATTGCTTCCAACTATCTAATACAAACAAGATAGTGTTTTTATAATTGCATAAAATGGCGGATTTAAGTATAAAACATGGGCGGATAAATGGCGGATTTCTTACATATTCCAGAAAAGTTGCAGACTAACCGGACAAAACTCAAACAACTACTTGGCATTGAAATATCAACAGGGACCCAGCGTATTGAGTCAATAAAAACCAACCACTGGAAATTGCAGAATACGTTGAACAAGTGACTACAGTTACCCCTAGTGGAAATGACGATTTTTTATTTGCTTGAGGGGATGACTATTGAATTTGAGTCTTAATGTATGCACTGTCACCTGCTAGAAATGCAGGTACATACAATGATGAGTCCCAAAAAGTACCAAGCATGAGTCATAGTTTCTACTTTCTGCTGCTGTCAACCAGTTAACAAACAAGCTACTAATTGTCATTTTTTCTATTGACTACTTTGTTTTGTTTCTTTGAATTTGGTTTGCTTATTCTGACTGACATTTCCTTACTATATCTTGCATCAAGATATCTTTTATCAGACCGCATACATTTGGCTACTTGTTAAGTCAACTGGCCTTGAATAAATCTGGCCTATTGGGTTTGCATAACTCGCATATTATTGAACTGTTAGTCAGACAAGCCTGGAAATCAATTGAATACTTTGAGTGTACTGGTCATACAGAGTTAACTGGGAATTATTCATCCATGCAGAGAACATTTCATCCACCGATATGGTCTATTGATCCAATTGATAAAATAGCTTATAAGGTGAGAAGTGAAGTCTGTGTGTGTGTGTGTGTGAGTGCGTGTACGTTGCGACGAATGGATTTCCTTTCTATCTGTATGATTTTTATGGTTTTATTTGTTTTTGTTACAAGCAGTGGAAATTCACACGTAGACAGAAGACAAAAGAAGGCAAATATGCACATTTTAGAAAACTTCCTCATTATAGGGCTTTTACAGCTATATATGCACATCTTAGGAGTAACTGATACTGACATCACTGAAGACAAAATTGCCTGGAGTTCTTTTAAGAAGTCATGACCGATGGGTTCCACTAGGATGGGAGTAGGGACAAATACTTGGCGCGCATGACACTGGCTGGTGTGTTGCGTCTGGTAAAAGTGGCTGAATGATCTATGAGCTCACAGTGTAGCTGAAATATCCAAAGCCTGAACCCCTGTGGGTGCATCATTTTGAGAGAGTCCCGAAACTAGGACGAGGTAGCTGTCCAGTACTTTCTATTGGCTTTCAATCGTTCTCTAACTGGTGTAAAATTCATGGTTACACTTGAAACAAATCGAATCCCTACAAAAGTTTGCTTGCTAGGCATAATGTGCATATATATAACTGTACGAAAATGGTGAGGAAGTTATCAACGATGTGAATATTCTTTCTACAGTCTTCATTTCTGTATTGTAGAAGAAAAGGAGGCTGGCTGGCTGGATTCAACATAGAACTTGGCACCGAAGTGCAGCAGTTCTAGTTGCCACGTTCCAAATAGCACACAAAGGTAGACAAGAAGATGAGTGAAGAGAATCAATAGAGTTTTGACAAGCATAAGAGTGAAACAGAATGAGTAATGGTAGAAAGGAATATGAAAGATTACACGAGAGACTGAATACATCTGCGCCATTGGCAACGATTTTGAGCCACGTCACCTATTATCTCCAGCCATTGATTCTTAGAGTCCCGAGGGCGGGCCTCAACCCGGGAGTCTGCATCTCCCTCCCTACCTGACTCAGTTTAACTGTCAAGGATTTCATGGATTGATGAGGCCATGTTTTTGTTTGGCCACCACTTACTCTTTTCCAACCTGCACCTATATCAGCTAGTAATGCCCGTCTATCGAGGGAGGCGATGGTTAGGCATGTGCAGCACGTGACCTAGCAATCTCAATCTATGCAACTTTATAGCCTCGTCAATTGATTTCCCCTCTTTGCCCAACACTCTACGCCTAAGGTCAACATTGCTTACCTTATTATGTCACCTAACGTGAGAAAAATATCGTAAACATCTATGATCAAAAACAGACAACATTTTCATGTCTTCAACTCGTATTGGCCATGTTTCAGAGCCATAGAGAAGGACGGAGCGAAATGCTGAGCAGTACACACGTCCCTTGGTTGATAGCCGGATGTCACGCCTACGCCCGCCAGAGACGGTGTAAGTTAGCGAAAGCAGCCCGAGCTTTTTGGATCCGTGCTGAGATTTCGTCACCAATCAGTCCGTTGGTGCTGATACAACTTCCCAAAAAGGTGAAGTGGTGAACATGTTCTATCACTTCACTCCCTATCACTAAGGAGGAGAGTCCAGTGAGCGTATAAATTTCGATTAGCACTCCTCATCTGCATAGTCTATAGACAAGGTTATTTTAAATCAATTTCTAAGGTTAATTAACATGTATACAAATACAGGAATATTGCGTGATAACAAATAATTATCAAGTTCATGAAGTGAGTTTGCATGACCGAGAGAAAAAAGGAGTGATAATTCAACAAAGTAATTAGGAATAAAAAGTGTTAATGTTCAGTAGATGGTTGATTGAGTGACCATCAACGGAATCTTAAATGTTTATTTCTTCCTTTTTGGAAATGTTCAATTCCTGGACGAATGTACCAGCACTGTCAGTTACTTATGGTGTACCCATCTTGATTTCTACTGAAAGTCAACATCATCAATGGAATTACATCATAATGATTTTCAGAAATTGTTAAAGTGTCCCTCCTACTAGGAAGTGATATAGTTCAACAGTGACGAAGCATTTCGGTCACATGTAGCGGGAAGTAAAAATTAAAATATACCTTTTTGGGGTAGAAATCATAGCAAATAAAACATTATCAGCTTTATATTATGTAAGTCATATAGATATATCTTTACTAAAAGACTTTTAAAAGTAGCGGATCAAGATTTTTTCCCAGCTGTTACGCTTTATTTCAAACAGGACGGGTTACAACACGCAAATGACAATAATAAATAATAATAAAACCAGATGGAATAGATTGAGAATAGACATTTGGAACCTACAGAAATTGTTGTATACCTTAGGATAGCTACCACTCTGATATGTTTATGAATAAATTAATCTAATATTCTTGTTAATTTATGTACATATTGCAAGTCATACTGTAAGACAGGGCATCATAGTCAGAAATCTGTTACTCTAATGGGGCACAAACCTACACACTTTTTATTATTTCATAGTTCTGTTGTTCTCTTCTTCCTGAAAAATTTTGTTCACATAGATATTATGGTTATAAAGATTATCTATTTTCATTCCTTAGTGTTCCAAGTGTAATAAGAATAGAACATGGGCGCCGTGTAGCTTCGCTGAAAGTTCAGAGTTGAACATGGAGCTTCAAGTTTTGATCTCTGAAGTATCATCAGTGGGAGTACATTTTGTGAGGAGTTGGATAACCAGCCTCGTGGCTAGCTTCACCTCTCAACAGGCTAACCGAGGCTTAGGAATCAGTTGGCTAGGAGTCAAACCCAGAGCACTTGTCTAGTTGGCAAGCATTCACCACTGAACCACTAACGGATGAGTTGTGTACACCTTTAACAAGTTGATACTATCTAAACCTTAAAAGCGCAGAAGTAACATTATTAATAGGTGTAATTTTCATGTGGGAGGTTTCAAGATATACGTGGTCAGCCAGTTTCATTTGTAAAATGTTTACTAAAGAAATGTTGGGAAAACCATTTTGATTTTTATGAAAAATGACTCTGAGTCGAATAGTGTCCATATTTAAGCTTTACTCTCGGTTGAGGTAACTTAGCTATCTCTGATTATTATATTTTCCACCTCATGGTAACTAAAACGTTTAGTCAGTAAATTGAAGATTTTATAACGCTTAGATGACTATAAATCGTTATGTAATCACTTTCATAAGTTGGGGCAATCAGGCAATAGTTATCCAATAGAAAGATCATACTGAAAACGGATCCAGATACTGCCGCGGGTATGCTCACACCACTATTGCAGAAAGTTTACGAATTGAGGAAGGATACCTACTGATTTTCCGCCATTTCAAATTACAAAACAAGAGTGACTTTAGTATCTGCACGAATTGACAATGAATCATGCTCTTGTCCGCAGCAGTGACTGTGAAGTGATTTGTAAACTGTTCCCGTACTACAGAAAACCCCAAATCTATATCAGCCTCATTCGGTAGCTTTATAGCAATACCACATTTTGAGTGATCCAAAACGGAATACTCAGTAAAGCCTTTTGGGTAAAGACTGGATTAAGGCAAGGCTGTTGCCTAACGTTACCGATGATGTTCCTAATTGTGGTGAAGTTGATTATGCTGGAGAATGTGGGGTGCGAGGAGACAGAAATGCATTTCACCGATGAGAAGACTCTTAAAGATCTGGACTTAGCGGACGATGTATGTCTAGTGACATATAAATTCGAAGACTCACAGGTGAAAACCGATAAGTTGACAGAGGAAGCAGCCAGCGAAGATGAGACTTCAGGTGAACATACAGAAAACAGAGGTAATGAAGACAACCAACCAAAAATAAATAGCACCGATCAGTTCCGAAGGAAGAAACTTGAGAGGAGTCACTTCTTTCACGTAGTGAGGTAGAATCGTCTCAACTACGGACGGTGGAAAGAATGAGGATATCAGAACTAGAATAGATAAGGCAAGGTTGACCTTCATCAATCTGGAATCAATTTGGAAATATTCTGCGCTTAGCATCAAGAATAAGGTCCCAATTTTCAGCACCAAGATAAATTCGATTCAACTATATGCATCAGAAACTTGAGGCATTACAAAAAGCATTTCAGAATGCCTTAATTAAAACGTGACCACTTTGCTAACACCACACTGAAGGTGAAATGGCCAGAAAGAATTAGTAACACGAATTTTTGAGGAAGAACAAGTCAAGAATATATTCTCCAACATATATGGCGAAGAAAATGGAGATGGATTGGACATACGCTGAGTGAAAAGTTGGCTGGCATCGTGCACAAGGCGAAATGACAAGTCAGGAGTCACTTCAAAGTTGATATGAAGGGGATCGTCTGAAAAGGAAATGACAGCCTTTAGGCAAACTTGGAACCAGATAAAAGTGACTGCAGAGAACAGAGTGAAATGAAGACGTGCTGGTGGAACCCTATGTTCCGCTCAGAACTCAAGAGAATAATACTTTAATAATAATAATAATAATCTTTATTCTAAGATGAACAATACTTATAATACAGAATGGAATTCTCAGTATTTGTCACAATATCGCATCTGATTTACTCAAAATAAAAATAGATTATTGAATCTTATGTTCTGTTGAAATAGTATGGTGAGGGGAAATACAAAGTTAACAGTTTATATTGTTGGGACGGAGGAAAATGGTTTATTTAGTAGTGCAAAGAAGGTTAGTTAGTTCATGTCTAACACTATTTCCATCACATAAGGTAGGTGCCAGATATGGTATAGTGGAATTTTTATATTTAGACGTACGTGCATAAAGTCTTCTGAAAAGACTTCTTGTTTTACCTGAGGAGACACAAGGTTGAAGCTGCGGGTAGAGTGGATGCTCACAGTCTGACATACTTCCTTTAGCAAATTTGTTGCATGACATCAAGTGCCTATCAGTGACAATGTCAACGATATGGCTCAATGGGATACCACTCGCCCCACTGACAGTCTTCATAGTTCTACAAAGTTTGACATAGTCTTTTTTAAGTAATCCAGGAAAGAATAAGGCTGAACAGTAAAGAAGAATGCGTAAGATGCACGAGTTGACAAACTGTAAGAGGATTGGTTGGGTTATGCCTGAGTGCCTAAACTTCTTAATGTAAAAACTCAGACGAAATATTTTTTTCTTCAAGTAAGAGTAACTTTTCCATAGTTTTTTGAAAAGGAGAGGTAATAGCAATAGGTCTAAATTTAAAACATGTTCCAGTAGACGACTTAGGTATAGGTACAATTTTAATGTCCTTCCAAACGGCTGGCACGACATTTCTGGAAAAAGATTCATTAAATCTGTCCATGAGAGGATAACACAGGATATCTGCACACTTTAAGAATAACACTAGGCAAACCATCTGGACCTAGGCTACAAGAAGGGTTCAGCGACTGGAGACATTTTAGAACGCCATTTGTATTGAAACCAGGAAATAATAAATATTATTATTTCCTTGGTCTCCGCGTGCGACATGATGTTTTAACAGTACATCTCTATTTCACTATGTGCTCTTCAGTTAATTGTAGTTGACTCCATGACTTTCTATAGGCTTTCATTCCTTGCATACACGGCTTTTACCATGTAAGCCCTAATATGACACCCAAATAATCTTTTCTCATTCAAGTCCTATTTGGAGACATGCCTGGAATTCGATATCACTCACTGTATGTCCAGTTCTTCTATCTCCATTTCTCTGTGCATATTTTTTGGGCTGCTCATAGGTAGTGCTCATATGCATGCACACATATTTATATTAAGTATGTTTTTTTTCTAAAAATTCTTTACTAGCCTTTTATCAATTTGGTCAGAGTGACAACATCATATGAATTTATACAAACTTTAATGACAACTACTCAGTTGATTACAAATAAAGAAAGCTATAACAGTGTCACCGATATACCTACAAATATTTCTGTAAGTATTTGATGAATATGTATATTTATGTACAGTTTGCATTTCTTTCTATGTTGTTAATATTATTATTAGGAGTTCGATTGATGGTGATTTGCAGGGGAGTGTAAGATGCATTTTATTTCGTCCTATTTGGGGACTCCTCAACTGGAATACGCCTAAAACTCGAACCCGGTCACTTATTGTTTCGAAAACCGAATTTCTTGTTTTCATTAGGCCAAGTGATCCAAATAAGATCTGTCAGTAGTCCGTATTAGGAACTGAGCACTTCGGTCCCACATAGATCAGTCAGTCGGACTTTCATTCTAAAAAAGGTATACAATCTCATTTATATTCATAGCTAATGTCATTAGTTAGTTCAACATAATAACATAGGGAAGGATATTAGAGGTGATAATAATTGCCAACTTGATATGAAAGTTTGAAAGTGTGAATATAGTAGAAGTTCTTGACATATGCATTGAATTAGCGGTAGTAATGTGATCAAAAGAAACCAGTTCAACATCTACATTTACCAAGGTTCTAGTTCTCTTTGACTCTTCAGTTTTTGTTTGTTTGTTTTTTCATTCCCTTCACTATTTTCCTCATCATCAGTTATAAGAACAATTATATCGATTTGTTTCCACCCTAATCCCGTATATATTTGACTGTCTTTGCAATTATTTTACCTATTATGTAACTATTTTCCAGTTCTTTGTAATTCTGTTTCGAAGGTCATTGTAATCCATATTCACACCTGCGTACTCTCGCACCAAGGAGCCTACATATCAATATAGGTTAAGCTGGAAAATGAAATTAGGATTAGTAATAAATAATACCTGACACTTGTTACACAAGAAGCGGCTCTGGTGGCCCAAGAGGTCTATTGACTGGCATACCATCACTGACTGAGGAATTCAGGCGCATCCAGATGGTGAGTCCCAAATGGGACGAAATGAACATTTTGGATTACACTGCTAGTCGCCGTCCACAAAATCATGTGAACCTTTTTCTAAAAAAACGCCATTATACAGGTGCTTTTGGGGATAAAATTGCCGAGAATATATCTCTGATGGCCTAGTGGACATTTTCCACGACTTGGAAAATGAATGTTAAACAGAAATTTCATTCTAACTTGTGTTTTATACTGTTTAAGTTCTTTTGTGTATTTGAACAGTGTTATTATAGCCGACGGAGGTTATCTGAAAAACAGTGTGATGTATTTGAGCCATACATTTTGAACAGCAATCTGATCACACAATTACTCGTCTGTGGATACACATACATAGGGTGGAGTAATCACGCTTTGCATGTGCGGGTGGGAAAGCGAGCATATTCCGAAGTGGTTAGAAAGACAGGTGAACTTTGGGAAATCAGTAGACGCAGGTGGTAGACTACCAACTTCGTCTATAGCCAAACATCGAATCGATATTAACCATAAGATTGATGCTAATACAGCTTTTAAGGTCATTTATGAAAATGGTGGAGAGGGCGGTTATTGAAATGCGCTGAGGCTATAGCTATTCATAAACTTAAGCACCCGTCTTCCCGCCTTTGTGGTCAAAATCAACCTGTTATTACTCTTAATTTACCGTGGTAATCTTCATTTGACCAGATAACCAAATGTAGTGTTAATTATTTTTATTATTCTTAAATCTTCAAGTGTTGGTTTTGTAAAGATTTTGTTTGATTGGTTGGGGGATTTCATCATAAGTTGACATCAGTTAGAAATTATTATTATTTCCTTTAATTCCTAGAGGAACATAGGGCTTCAGCCGCGCATCTCCATTGCGTTCGGTTCTCTGCTAGAGTCTTCACCTGGCTCCAAGTCTGTCCACACGTTTTCATCTCCTCTTCACATCACCTCCTCCAAGTCACCCTTGCACTGATGACCAACTCGACGCTTCCCTTTCGGGTTCCACTCGAGCAAAGGCTTGTCTAGTGATGTCACTTGATGGTTTCCTCAGAGTATGGCCAGCCAATCCATCTCCATTTCTTCCTGCCCATTTGTTTCACAATCGGTTCCTGCTGTGTTGGTTCGTTCCCAGAGATCTCTGTTGCTGATCTTTTGTGGCCATTGGATCTTCAGTGTTGAGCGAAGACAGCTAGCTTTTGATGAAGGTCTGTAGTTTGTTTGATGTGCTCTTTATGACGCACAGTGCAAATCTCTCATCTGTATAGTGCCACTGACTTCACATTGGAGTTGAAAATCCGGATCTTATTTTTCATACTGAGTGTTGTTGACCTCCACACAGACTTGAGAATAGTGAAGGCTTGTCTTGTTTTCCGATCCTCACTGCTTTGATATCCACGTCAGTTCCATCTGCCTGTAGTTGAAACGATGCTTCACAGGTAGGTAAAAGAGGTTGTTTCTTTCAGGTTCCTCTCATTTATGCTGATTGTTTTCTGTTGTTGTTGCTGTTAGTGGTATTGCCCAGGAATCTTCATTACCTCTGTTTTCTCTATGTTCACCTGAAGTCCTATCTTTGATGCTTCTTCTGCCAACTTGTTGCTTTTCGCTTGCATATCTTCCAGTTTGTGGGAAATCAGACATATATCATCGTCGAAGTCCAGATCCTCCAAGTTTTTCTTGAGGGTCCGTTTTATGCCTGTTTCCTCATTCCCCGCTGTCTGTCGCATTATCCAATCTATCAGTTAGAAAACATTGGAAAACTTGGGAGTACTGGAGAGCTGTTTCGTCCTAGTTGGGGACCCTTCATCAGTACGCACCCTCCGGGGTTTCAACCCAGGATCTTCTGGTTACAAGGCGATGTCAGCTCATGATGAATTCCTCCAACCAATCAAAAAATATCCATACAAAAAACAATACTTGAAAATTAATCTGATGCTCACTAGCCACTGGCTTTATTCAAGCAGTTACCTGGCGTTGTAATAGGAAGCCGTGACTAGTAGGGCACAGCATATCGAAGGTGGTGAGGACAGTTACTCATCGAAGAAAACATTGAAAAGTGATCACGCTGTGTGGCGAATTGGCAGAAGTTAGAATTCATAGGTTGACCATTGAGACGGGTCCCAGTGGCCTAATGCTATACGAGCTAGCTCGCCTTGTAATCAGAAGGTCCTGGGCTCGAGCCCCGCAGTGCTGGCACGAATTGATGAAGAGTCCCAAAGCTGAGACGAAATAGCTGTCCAATACTCCATGCAGGTTCCTCAAAGGTTCTCTAACTGATGTCAGCTCATGTTGAAATCTTGTCATCTATTCTTAAGTCTTTTTGGTCAGTTTGTGTACTTTAATTGCCCTTTACCCACCTTTTTTCACATAAATTTAATTGACTGACAAGTAAATGTGTGTGGGATCAGTTTTTGTTGCTCGAAATGTTTTGCGCAAATTATTATTATTATTGTATCCTTTAATTCCTAGAGGAACATAGGGCTTCAGCCGTGTGTCTCCATTGAGTTCGGTTCACTGATAGAGTCTTCACTTGGCTCCATGTCTGCCCACATGTTTTCATCTCCTCTTCACATGACCTCATCCAAGTCACCCTTGCACTGACGACCAACTCGCCACTTCCCTTTCGGGTTCCACTCGAGGGCTTGTCTAGTGATGTCACTTGATGGTTTCCTCAGAGTATGGCCAGCCAATCCATCTCCATTTCTTCCTGGCTATTTGTTTCAGAATCGGTTCCTGGTTGGTTCGCTCTCAGAGATCTTTGTTGATGATCCTTTCTGGCCGGCCATCTGATCTTGAGTATTGAGCGAAGACAATTGTTAATGAAGGTCTGTAGTTCGTTTGAGATGCTCTTTATGACGCGCCAAGTCTCTGATCCGTATAGTAGCACTGACTTTACATTGGAGTTGAAGATCCGGATCTTATTTTTGATGCTGATTGTTGTTGACCTCCACACAGATTTGAGAGTAGTGAAAGCTTATCTTGCTTTTCCGATTCTTGCTTTGATATCGTCGTCAGTTACGCGTGCCTGTAGTTGAAACGATGCTGTCAGTTAGGTGGGTAAAAGAGGTTGTTTCTTTCAGGTTCCTCCCATTGCGCGAATACATTACACTAACACTATCCAAATCTATATAGAAGGGACTAAGTGTTTTAAATCTTTTTTGTGTATGTGAACGTTTCTTTAAAATGAAACAAATTGCGTAATTCTTTTTGAAATTTTGAAATTCTCTTTCTTTATATTTCAATATGAATTATTGTAATAGGTTATGAAAAATTTCTTTTTCGTGATTTTTGTATTGTCAAACTTATTTATTTATGATTATTCAATTGCTTTCCTTAGTTAGCATAATAAATTAGGGAATTATTTCCAAGACATTTTTCTGATTGATCGTCTCTGAATTCAACAATACAAATAAATGGAAAAAAATTTAATTCAATTAGCTTATTTTAAGTTGAATTTCATCACAAGCAGATGTCGTCAAAGCGATTGTTGAAAACAAGAAAGCAACTAGAGTACACTAAATTGCTTTTTTGTTCTAGCGTGGAACTCTCCAACAGAGTTCACCCATCACCCTGTTATGGATCGACCTAAGAACTTCCTTGAGTTCTAGGTGGTGGTATAGAGTTACACACAGCGTCCATCTAAGCAGGTTCCAGACTTGATTGATAGTGGTAGTATATCGTGAATCAGCAGGAGTAAGAATTCATGATCTCTTTATCCTAACATAATACGCGAACTATAATTTACTGGCCTGATATACCTGAAGTATTTTCGGGTTAGACCACGGATAGATATCAGTGAGAGAACCATTGAAAATCAGCTTGGAGTACAGGATAGCTGTTTCATCCTATCATGCTACGCACCCACACTGCGGGGTTCGAACCCAGTACCTTCCAGTTACAAGGCAAGCTGGTATAGTATTCAGCCACTGCGACCCGATTCAATAGCCAGCCATCCCATGAATTCTAACTTCTGCTTATTAGGGATTTTAGCGCAGCCACCATCCTCTTCCCCGACTGCATGGACTCCAAAGATCATGACTTCTCACTCGAACTTCAAGCAACTTCGTCCTGTACCGAGTCACTAGTGAGCATCAGATTAGTGCTAAGGAATTAGTTTCACTTCAAAAACCCAGAAGATAGCTGGAGACGATTAATTTAACTCAGAAAAGTTAATCTAAAATCACAAGTACAAAGAAATAATGTAGTCGATAAAGACTAAGTTTGAAATTACTGACTATGTTGTAGCCCCTCACACATACGTACACTTACAAAAGGCTTGTGTCATCTGTTTCAGCACATTTAACAGAACTGAGTAAACTGGATTACTGAGCAGTGCACAAAAGCTTCAGTTGACAGTTTACAGTCTCGTGCTATTTATTCAACTTATTTTGAGTACTTCATCTACGTTAACACTTTAGTTTCTGGCGCGCACATCTTGACAACGTCTTGAATTTAACAATGGAAAGTGATGTATAGACATATGTATTAAAAGTTCGCAGGATTTTCTTGCCCTTTGTCTCGTTATACGAAACAAAGTTGAGTGAATGAGCTGTTGCACAATGCAAACTCTTTTGTTGTAGTTGTGTCCTGTGAGTTGGATAGCTTATTTGTGAAGCTTTCGTCGTCTTACCAGGCAAAATCCTCAGTGCGAACTTCAATTTAATGTCAACTTTTAAATTTCCCCACGAGTTTATTAGTCACCTGTCTTAGTAAACTTGAGCGTTCAATGCTATGCTTTGATGTCAGCTAACAGCAAAATTCAGGGGAAACACGTTTCTTCCTTATTGGGACCTGTTGGTTAAATGAACGTATATGCCACTCACTGGGCGTTAGGTTCGAGTCTCAAGGTGGAAAAATCATCATTCTTGGGAGATGCAAATTAATCCGACTGATGAGTCCTGAATACAACCAGACCAGAGTCTCTGATTCAATAGTCAGCTACCATCAGTTCAATAAACAGAATACTTCATGCATTTAGTCAGTGTAAACTCATATACAAGCAACAATAAAAGTCTAATGAAGGAAAACAGTCAGTATGATAAAGATATAAGTGGAATTCCATAATTATGTATCACTACTGTTAATTCACTCGTTATGCACAGTAGTAATACCGAATATCTCTCAAAAGTCAGCAATGCTTAACCCGCATTCCCCAATTTTTATGTGTTACAAGAACGTTTACTATACTCTTGATTTTCATTTGAATAAAAGACACTAGTGAGTCGGTGCTTAAACGATAGAATGCTCGCTAGCCTCTTACTCGGAAGATCCGAGTTCAATTCCCATCCGCCGAACTCATATACCTCTCCTAGTTTACTAGGCTCTGGTAAGTCCAGTAGAAAGGGGAGGGTTGAGTGTGAAGCCAGCAGCTGCACTCATCTGCACAAATCCAATAAGTAGTTTGCAGGGATTCTATATGTTTCAGATTAGACTACGGATTGATGTCAGTTACAGAATCATTGAGAAATGATATCTAACTGATATCAATCCATGCTGTAACCTGAAAAAAATAAAATCCCTGCAAACTATTGATTTGATTTGTGGTCACAATGTCCAGTGAAGCTGTTTCAGTATCCCAACTAAGCCTAAAACAGCTACTCAGTGTTCCTCGATTTTACTGAAATAAGTTCTTGGCAAAATCCTGCCTGAAGACAATCAAATCCTCAGTAATCCAACAATCAGATTGGTAACTTGATGTAATTAAGCGAATGAAACTGCTCAATAAAACATTCACTATAGCTCATCAGTACAAAGCAAAAGTTTGAAGGCGGAGAAGTTTGACAGAAAAGGTTAGCCTTCATCTAAGTTGCATACTCAAACACTTTTCATATGCTACGACGATGTTGTAATTTTTAGTGCGGCCATATCAGTTTACAACTAGCATTCCAATCCAGCGTTCATTTTTTTCTCAAATTTTTCTTGGATATATTGATTTCTTAAAAATTAACATTAATTCCAGCAATCAAAATGTGTATGTGTATGGCCAAAAGGAATTTTGCGCTTATACACGTGTGTGTTGTGGCAAGTTAATTCTTCCTAGCTGACCACCCCGTTGACGTTGAATGCTTCTTGAGATGCTTGAAATTGAAGGAGTATTAGTAATAGGAGATTACAAAGCCCTAAGAATAACCGCTTGAGGCCGGTTACACAAGGTCTATTTGAAGTGGATTGTGTATTTGCATCCGTATAAGAGTCTTTATGACGTTAACGAAGCACCATGTATTGTGTGTGCAACCCTCATTCTATAGCGGAGAAACATTATATCTGAGCGAAACACCTTACTTCAGTTATACACCTATTCGCCAGCATTACTACTTCGTCTAAAAACATACAATACAGTGAAAATGACCTAAAATACAATTATGGCCGATTTTGTTTCAACCCCTGTCCAGATGGTCTTTCTGGAATAGTAAGACCTGCAGAAACATTATTTCAAGCCTATGTAGCTGATTAGGTCATCACGATTTGCAGGCCCTACCATTGTCTTAAGGTATCAGCTATCCGTTGATCATGAATTTTAACACCAATCCCAATTGTCAGATATACATCATATAAATCTAACATTGTAATTATGTTATTTCGCTAGTTTCTTTCGTTTTTCGTTCGTTCACTTTCCAAATAGGACAAAAAAGGTTCATTCTTGGGCACCAACAAATTGGTGGTGCAATTTTTGCCGAGTGCAGCTGCTGGCTTCACACTTAGCTATGGAATTCCACTTATATCTTTATCACACTGACTGTTTTCCTTCATTAGACTTTTATTGTTGCTTGTAAATGAGTTTACACTGACTAAATGCAGGAAGTATTCTGTTTTATTTAACTGATGGTAGCTAACGACTGAATCAAAGACTGTGGTCTCGTTGTATTCAGGACTCATCAGTCGGAAATAATTCGCATCTCCCACGAATGATGATTTTTCCATCCTGAGACTCGAACCTAACGCCCAGTGAGTGGCATATAAGTTCGTTTAAGCAACAGGTTCCAATAAGGAAGAAACGTGTTTCCCCTGAATTTCGCTGTTAGCAGACATCAAAGCATAGCATTGAACGTTCAATTTTACTAGGACAGGTGGCTAATGAACTCGTGGGAAAATTTAAAAGTTGACTTTAAATTGAAGTATGCATTGAGGATACTGCCTGGTAAGACGACGAAAGCTTCACAAATAAGCTAACCAGCTCACAGGACACAACTACACCAAGAGAGTTTGTATTGTTCAACAGCTCATTCACTCAACTTTGCTGCGTATAAAGAGATGAGGACTTTTAATACACATGTCTTTTTAACATGTCCCGGTGCTAATTTCTAGACGTTGTCAAGATGTGCACACCAAGAATCAAAATGTTAACATAGATGGGATACTCAAATTAAACTACCATTTGAAGATTATGAACACTTTTCAGTAGTCCGCCCTACTCAGTTCTGTTAAATGAAACAAAATAGAATACACAAGCCTCTTGTGTGTGTATGAGTGTGTGTGGGACTACAACATAGTCAGTAATTTCAAACTTAGTCTTTATCGACTACATTATTTCTTTGTACTTGTGATTTTAGATTAACTTTTCTGGAGTAAATTAATCGGTTTCCAGCCATCTTCTGGGTTTTTCAAGTGACAGTTCAATGGTGCTTTGACTTTTAATTGATGGTTACTTTTTCGGTAGTAGCTACTATTTAGCAGGGATTACTGGTCTGTTGTTTCATCATAGTTTGAGACACTTTGGCGGTAGGCATCCATTAAGGGGCCGAACACAGGACCTTCTAGTTACAAGGCGAGCTCGTCCACCATTCAGTCAGAGGTAGAGTGCTCGTCAACCACACCTCTCATGGTTCAGTGTTCGATCCCCGGCTGATGCATTCCGTAACCTCAGTTAGCCGCCAGGAAGCCGGGGAAAGAGGGGAGGTTGAGTGTGGAGATAGTCATCCCACCCTGTAAAAAGGAATAACATCACTGCTACTGAAACTTCAAAACTCAAAGCTTGAAACCTTATGTTCCACTCCAAATGTAAAGGAATAAAATAAATAATAATAAAATACTATTGAAATACATATAGAAATAATCTCACTATCACATATTGATTTTTCTTTCACAGGGATTTCTTGACCGTGTCGTTTTCATAAATAATGTGCCTAAACTTCAATCACTATTCAATCCTGAACAGTGTCAGTTATTCGGCCTAAGGTAAGTTTATTCATCATTCATTCAACTTGTTCAATATATTCTACTGGTTCTCTTTTTAATCTCCTTGTAATTAATGTGTCTACAGCCAAGCTGATACGTGCTGCTATTTACTACTGATTGATTGAGATGAGTACTATAAGTATACTACTCAAATCAACTGTATAAAAGGTAAATTGTGGATTTGATTTAAGGCATAATTAGTTCGCCTAAGTAACTAAGTAGCTAGCCAGAGTAGTTTCGAGTAGTTCCAAGTGGTTGGGCACTGTAATCTGAGTCAGGCTGCGTACACACCGCTGATAAGCTTGGCCCCCGAATGAGCCCAACGGTGTTTGATCAGATAATTTCGATCTGGATGTTTGGTAAGTACTACTTGGTTGATGTTAGTGATATCCAACTACTAATATTAATCGATAAGTAGTATTTAGTGTATACGTTCATGTACTTCTTGTTTTTATTTTTCTTGTAATTTATGTGTCTGAAAGTAAGCTGTTAATCACTAATTTTTCCAAGTTCAAATTTATCATCCGTGGATGGCACTATTTCTTGGAGGTTTATTTATGAAATGGTTAACTTTGACCCAGAAAAAATCAACAACAAGAAACTCTGGCTAGGAACAAACTGACCATGAGCCGATTGTTCAACAAATATATAAGAGAAAATGTAGATGGATCGGGGATGCGCTGAGCAGGCCATCGAATGACACTGTGCTCTATGCAGGCCATCGCTCGAGTGGAATCCTGATTGAAAGTTACTGAGTGGATCGTCGGTGAGATGGTGACATGGAGGAGATCTTTTGCGGAGGAGGAGATGAGATTTAATGGGGGCAGTCGTGGACCCAGATAAAGAGGACAGCAGAAAATGGAGATGTTGTTGTTGAAGCCCCATGTTCCACTGAGAACCCAAGGGAATAATAACGATAATAATAGAATAATAGTTCTGTATAGTTTTCAAAGCAGTTTTTGAGACAATGGAAAGTTTATCATTCAGTTTTCATCTTGTGATGAAGATTGCTTAAAGAAATCACTGGTGAACGAACGAGTGTCAGACGCTCATGTACTCTGTGCTTAACGTCGACAACTGTTTAATTTTCTAACGTGCAAGAGTTCCTGTACCCGTGTTAGCTCAGTTAGAGTCTCTCACTTCTGTGTATGGAGAATAGGATAGAAACAATAAATCTATAGACAAGGAGGATATATAGAAGCGAGAATGAATAATTCGATTGGGATAGCTGGCGTTACCTCTAAATCAAAATTATACTTTTTTTTGGCGTGTTTGGAGAACTTTTCAATATCACGCTGGCTATTGTGACTATCACGAAATATATACTCATTAGTTCATAAGGAAAAACACAATTTTGGTTCTGCGAAGAAGAACTTTCTCTTTTCAACGACTTCATTTTCAAGCTATCTGTGCAATCGTATTTATACTACGGAAAAGGAAGGCGTTAAGTGGCACTAGAAATTGATCAGTCAATATAACACATATGATAAGAATAAAGATAATTAAAATGATGTATTAGGGAGGAGGGTAGAGTTGAAGTGGATGAATTACAGAACTTTTCAAGGTTATTAAACAAGTGAACTGGCATAAAGATTTTAAAATTGTCAGTCAAGTGTTGCCTAAAAAATTAATAGTGCGATGATGATAACAGTAAAGACAGCGAAGATGAAGTGAAGTGAAATGAATTCAAGTGGTAAAATAAAGATAAAATAAAAGGACGAAACTGTGGCAAAGGTAAATAAAGGGGTTTAGCAGAACATTTTTGGAACATAATTTAGGTTTCAATCTACTTACAGCTAGAGCTCCGGCTATGTATAAGTGGAGAAAACTTAAGCTTTTGGAGTGATTGGATTAGATCCTGTAAATAACTCTGAAGGATAAGTCACTTGTGGCTGAATGACCTGACTCAAGCATGTCATTCTATGCTCACCTCTCATTAACCAAACCGTGTAGTGTTCAGCTACGTGTTTATGGAGAACATGCTTACAACGTCCAATGTAATCGGCTCCACACAAGCACGTGAACGAGGATGTGCATATAGAGGTGGCCATAATCGGATATTTATCCTTGATGCATTGTCGAATCATATTTCGGCTGGTAAATACTAAATGTGTGAGTCAGCTGCATAAAAAGAGAGTTGAATACATTTAGATAAAGGAATTTTAATCACTTCAGCAATAGTGTCACCTTTGAATGCCAAACTCATAAACAGTGTCTTCTTTAGCACTGTGATTTGGCTAAGGACTGTTTCTTTCTTCATGTTTCTGTCAATAAACCTTCTAGGATATTCATTATTTAAGAGAGTTGTGTGAAGTTTTTCTAGCAACAATTACTCTTTAGTGATGAAAACACAAGCACGCAATGTTCAACTTGGATAGAACTCATAAAATTATGCCTTACAACATACTTCCAATTCAATACTCAAATATATGAACAAATAAATAGGAACACCAATGGGATTGCCCATATCAGGATTAATTGCTGAAGCCGTTATGCAAAGATTAGAATTAATAGCTCTACCTATAATTAAACCGAAAATCTGGGTACGTTACGTTGATGATACATTTGTAATAATTAAGAGAAGTGATTTAGAATATACCCATAAATTAATAAACAACATATTTGAAGACATCAGATTCACAAGAGAAGAATTAGATAACAAAATCCCATTTTTAGATGTCTTAATCAGTAGAACCAACACAGGTAATTTAGAAACACAAGTATTTGAAAATCAACGCATATAGATCAAATACTCGACTATACTAGCAATAATCCAATTACTGACAAACGAAACTGTGTGCAGACATTGTTTAAAAGAGTTCAAACACACTGTAGCACTCCAGAGTTGAAAAGAATGGAAGAAAAATACCTACAAAAGATCTGAAAGAAATGGTTATCCACAAAATTTCATCAAAAAGTGTTTAAAATCGAATCACAACACCAACAAGGAACCATCATCAAAGACCATAAGAAAATTCATCCTACCATACATGAAAAATACCTCAGAAATAACAGGCAGAATACTGAAACCGTTTGATATAGATATAGCACACAAGCCAGTCCAATTGCTCAATTCGATATTATGCAAACCAAAAGATCCAACGGAAAAAGGAAAAAAATTAATACCATTTACAAAATAAATCGTATGAACTGTAACAAGCATTACATCGGCTAAAGTGGGCGTCCCCTTCAAATCAGAATCCAGGAATACAAATCAGCCATGAAAAGATACGATAAATGTTCTTTCATGTCAATGCATATAGACAATTATGGACATCAATTTGATCAGGATAATGTCGAAAACTTAGACAGAGGAAATACCAAAAGTGCCAGGGAATTCCTAGAAGCCTAGTACTCAAACGAATATGCAATTAACAAACACGTTAATGTAGATAAAATATACCAACTACTAAAAAGTAAATCATGTGACCAGAAAGTTTAAAATTCAAGTCAATAGGAAAATGATCAATACACATGTAAAGATGGTTACCGGGAGACTCAATTCTATCACTCATGAAGAAATTTAAATCATTTCACTTTATGCTAAATATTGCGCTGAAAGGGGATGTTGTACAGAAGGACGACGAAAGCTCCGCAACTAAACCAACCAGCTCAGAGAACGCTATTAATTGCAAATCATCTACCTGAGCCACAAATCTTCTCTATTATTTCGAAGTTTTTCTAGTTCCATGTCCACCATATCAATAGATCAAATTTTCTGAAATCTTGAGCACAAAAAAACGCATAAGATTTCTGTGACTATTACTGGTATGTGTAGAAGCGAAACAATTTAACTGATGATTCTATCCGTTTTCAAACTGATTAGTCACATTCACAAGTTTGATCAACTTCTGTGAAGTCAGTTTATTGAGTAGAAAAGAAATTCTGGTAACGAAGTAGGGAAAGTGAACTATTCATAGCCATGTGAGGAACTCCTTTTATTCATTTGATAAAGTTCTACTCACAAGGTACAAAATCATCCTGAAACAGTTTACAGATATGTGTAAAGAGGTAAGAGGTGAGGAAATAGACTACTAAGTTCAAGTTAAAAGAACATATTCAAGGTCAAAATAACAATGAAGACCACTAAACCAAATAGCAGAGGTAATAGTACATCTGCTATGGTATCGAAACAAAATTTACCGAGGAAGGTTTAATGTGATGATGAATTGTTTTTGAACGCATAAAGGTGATTTGAACTTTCTAATTGCAAGGGCTTCCACAAACTTTACGATACGCCCAAAACGCGTTCTATAGATAGGTTTACCAATTTGAATATACGTGTGCAAACACACATACATAGGGAGGACTAATCGATCTCTGCAAGTAAGGGTTTGCTTCAGAGCATATTCCTAAATGGCTCCAGAAACGAATGGAATCTTCAGAACCTATTAATGATGAGAACAGGAGATCTAGCTCTTCTGTTGCGAAACATATTATAGAGACAGGACATAAAATTGACGTTAACAGATCTTTTAAACCCATCTGTCAAACGTGTTTGGGGGACGGCTTATCCTAAAGTTTGTGGAAGCCCTAGCTGGCAATTAGAAAGCTTAAACCACCTTTATGTGTTCAAAAACAATTCATCATCACATTAAACCTTCCTCGGTAAATTTTGTTTCGACACCATAGCAGATGTACTATTACCTCTGCTATTTGGTTTAGTGGTCTTCATTGTTATTTTGACCTTGAAATTGTCCTTTTAACTTGACCTAGGTCTATTTTCTCACCTCTTAGCTCTTTGTAAATTTCGAATGTAGACATTGCTATGTCAAGTTCGTATGTGATCCGATTGTTCGAAATGTGTTACGTAAATACTATACACAATACACGATTCAGACAAATTACGTCTTCTTATTGCTTTATCTAAATTCGTAAAAAGAACTAATTGTTTTAAATATGTGTAAATTTAATATTCAATATTTTGGATTCTACTTAGCGAAAATATTCATTTATACATCTAGAAAAAGCAAGAAATTTAGTATAGAATATTCTTTTCGATAATTTCCTCTTCTGGCTCTACAACCCCAGGTAACTACCTACCTGAATAGGGCCAGTCACTAGTGTGAGGAGAAATAATCTCCGAAGACATTGGCTAGTGAACGCGCCACCTCGTGAATTAGCAGAAGTTTGAATTCCGGGACTGGCCAGTGGATCCGGTCCCAGCGGCTTAATGGTCTACTGGCTAGCTAGCCTTGTAACTAGAAGGTCCTGGTGTAACGACAGAAGGCAAGAGTCAGGCAACAGATCGTTTATTAAGGAAATCAACGGATATTAATATATTTTCATGTACATTACTATGGATATTTAAACAAACAAACAAACACAGTTTCCGATTGGTTGTTTCTCAAGTAAAGTCAATCTTTCATCTATTTGTGACTGTATCTTGAATGTCAAATCCTCTATATGTTAACTGCATCCGCCTACGCAAAGTCTGCTGTGGTCGGTTTTGAATCAGTCTTTGTTCACATTTTCTCATGACAAATCTTGAAAACGTAAACATCGACGTAAATTACTGTCTACCAATTTGGCTAGTAGACAGCTCTCACCACACTGGGTTCGGACCTCTGAGGTGGGTGTCTACTGATGAAGCGTCCCAAACTAGGCTGATGAAACAGCTGTGCAATGCTCCTTGGTGGTTTCCAATGGTTCTCTAACTGATGTCAGCTCATGATGAAATCCTGTTACCAATCAATCAAATGCCCACAAACGAATACTTGAAAATTAAGGAACATTACAACCTTGATGATCAAATTAGGGACATTGTCTGAACCAACTATTTTGGATGCACAAGTTACGTTTCTTGGTGTAGATTCCAAAAGCCATCCTTAGCAATATGTAGTAGATGAATTCTTGAGGTAAAATTAGGATAAATTGGTTTGCGGTAGATGACTTTAAACCTCGTTAACATCAGTGTTGTGTTCTGTATCCACAAGATGAGGTAGAATACGGCTATCAACGCATTTTGTTTGTCCTTTACTTAACCACGCAGGTTGATGTTCGGAAATTCGATGAGAAACACGCCTAATTGCACGGCCTATGTAACTGGCTTCACAGAAGCAGTCAAATTTGTAGATAAACGTAGACGAAGCGAACTTAGGCAGTTTATCTCTTACTCCCGAACACAAAACACGCATGGTTCTAAAGACACAGCATAATTCAGAAGCACTGAATGCTCTATCTACCGCCGTATTCCTTAGGCGTTTTGTTATTGTATCTAACTGATGTTATCTCCGAGAAACTGAATTTGTAAGAATAAGTAAGGCCTTCCTTTTTCGGAACTGTTGGCACTTTGGACAACCTTGACTTTTGATTCATATTTTTATCAATAGATTCCTATACTCCACAGAGGGTAAAGTTTGTAAAGTTATATTTCTGACAAGAATTTTTAACAAACTGATCTATATTCATGTTCTCATCTAATTTTTCTATTAATACACAGGCTACTCTCCTGTATCATATCTTGTTTGGATTCCCTCCTATGGTTTGAAGCCCACTGTAATTTATCTGATTTCTTGCTAAGTTATGAAAGTGAGAAAAAATCTTCAGATACAAGTTCAAATGTTGTTTTTGATGCTTTGACAATTGAACGAAATTACTTATTAGTGAAAATATTCTTCATCGGTGGACCAAATGAACGTGAACTACCACCAAGAGTACTTTGTCAGGTAGGCTAATGATTTCTGGGGTATTCAGCCGAAGGTCTAGTTTGGAATTATTGCTAGCCATTCAAGATTTTTAGCTATCTAGTCCACCTCTCTAATATCAGTACTGTTTAAGAAAGGTTTTACTCACCATCTACTGGAAGGAATCCATTGGTGTCAAAACGTTTCAAGAAACAGGCATAAATTCAGTCTTTGTAAACAGGAAGTTCTTGCAAATATCAGGTCTCTTTACTTGAAATGACATCTTGTTAGTACGCCTGTTGTTTGTCTTTACCTTATAAATGATCAGGAGCTATTCCTGGATGACTCTCATATTACACAACCTTTGTCAATAGTTACCAATCTTAACCTCCCCCGTAGTTACAACTTGATTATTCATCACATTCTTGCTTGAAACATTTTGATGACGTAAACAACAACCCTAACTAATATTCATTTTTTTTGACATTCCTAATGTACACGCACATACACATAAAATAATCATTATATATGAATACGATTTTACAGCTAAGTAAATGAATTCGCCGAAAAGAGACTCTTCTTTACTTTGCATTGCTGACGCCTTAGCGATCCGGATATAAAACACTGATTTATCTTCACAGAAGGAACTTCTCCAACCCCTCCTTCTACTTTGAGTATGGTTCAAGTTCTACTAACCAACCCTTTACTTACTCTTCCTACATACTGCATAATTTATTTTGGATACTTGTCTGCATGCTATTTCAAATCTTTAAATATTAGCAGGATTAATAGTAATAATAATAACAATAGTGTGATGAATGTTTTGAACGTCAGTAGTAACTATGATTATAATGATAACAACAATGTAGTGGTAATAAGGTTTATGCAGGTGGCGATAAGAATAGCAAAGGTAGTAATATGTGTGCGTATATGTAGACAATTCAATAAATAAATAAATTAGGTCAAATCTTAGAAGTCACTTAACACTAAAGATGAAGAGGATAGATAATCAGAATTTAAATAAATATCATAAAAGTACGAAGGAAATGGAGAATAAAAGAGGGTGGGAGGGTTTTGATGAGACTTTACCTAGGCCAGGTAATGGAGAGCCAAAGATAGAACAAACTTCATTTGGTGCATGCAAAGACTAGGATTGGTGGATGGTGAATAGCAGTGGAATCCAGGATGCGCATTTCGTCCTAATTGGGCCTTGCCGGCCGGATGCACCTGTGTAACGACAGAAGGCAAGAGTCAGGCAACAGATCATTTATTAAGGAAATCAACGCATATTTATATATTTTCATGTACATTACTATGGATATTTAAGCAAACAAACACAGTCTTCCGATTGGTTGTTTCTCACGTAAAGTTAATCTTTCATCTATTTGTGACTGTATCTTGAATGTCAAATCCTCTATATGTTAACTGCATCCGCCTACGCAAAGTCTGCTGTGTTCGGTTTTGAATCAATCTTTGTTCACATTTTCTCACGACAAATCTTGGGAACTTAAATATTGACGTAAATAACTGTCTACCAATTTGGCTAGTAGACAGCTCTCACCACACCTGCATTCCCCAATGAGTGATGATGTTCCCAACGAGGCTCGAAACGAGGCTCAGCAATTGCACTGGATGCATCAACACACAATCACACAATAGGGTGGGAGAGGGTTAAAATTCTAAGAAGTAATACAAGTAGATGGAGACAGAGAGATTGATTACTGAATCCTGTCTGGTTCGTTGAGTCTGCACCCAACTTATGCAACAGAAATGACTCAATGCAAATACCAGAGATATGGAAGGTATTATTATCACCAGTCAAATCAGGGGAGGATAATAAATAATCTTAAAATTCTATTTCAATTCAAGCACATCAAAACATTCTAACAAGTTACTTATTTTGACTATAAAAACACTCGTCTTATTTCCCATCTGACTGTATTTGATTGATAACACTAATAATATATCTGAAAGCACATTATCAAATGTCTAATCAATTCCACTCATGTATATAAATGAAGCAAGAAAGTTGTGTGAGTGAGTGACTTTATATGATTATGAGTGACAATAATAAATTGTGCTCGAAACGTGGTCATCAGTTAATATTACCGTATAACACTGTGTGATTTATCAAAATAAAATTTTATCTATAATTGAGTTATGCTCTACCACCACAGTGTCCAAGTTTTATACTTATATCAATAGTTCTTGTCCATTCTACAAAATTATATTGATTATTCATTTTCTCAAACCAACTTCTGCCTCTTTTCTAACTTCCAATTAGTTACGCTTTGTAGACTATATCTTACGTTAAGTAATGCGTTTCAGAGGACAAATTTTACCAGTAACTGATGGGTCTTATGAACTCTTTGTTAAAGACTGTTCGACAAGGACCACTGGCTATGCCAGATAATAAGCTATTCATACTGGGGTTACAGGTTGCAGAGCTTTATCAACAACTGTCTTCGCTGGCTCTATACTGAAGATCAGATGGCCGGAAAGAATCACCAACAAGAAACTATGGGAACAAACAAAACAAGAACCAATCGCCCAACAAATATGCAGGAGAAAGTGGAGATGGATTGGACACTCGCTGAGGAGGCCACTGGGTGACATCGCACGTCAGGCCCTCGAGTGGAACCCGGCCGAAAGGGAAGCGGCGAGTGAGACGTCCAAGGGTGACATGGAGGAGATCGTGTGAAGAGGAGTTGAAACAGTATGGACTAACATGGATGCAGATGAAAAGTACAGCAGAAGATAGAAGCAAGTGGAGACGTGCAGTTGAAGCCCTATGTTCCACTAGGAACCCAAGGGAACAATAATAATAATAATACTGGGGAAGTCTAACTGGGGATTAACTGTGATGGAAACAGTGAAATAATCAGCTTACCTAACAAAAGCGACTTCACCAGAATGAAGCAAGTCATGTAAGAAGATAGAAAACAAAAAGGAAAGAGAACAACCCCGTGAAGGATACTTCTTAAGCACAGTGGCGGGATAAAATTTCTCTTACATACACTGCACTGATTTCTATCAGAAAAGTACGTTTGTAAGCACTTATTATTCCAGCACAATGGCTTAAACAGGATCAAAGGCAGTTGCATAATTTCGGAAGATACTTCGAATATATTAAGTAACTATGTCTACACTGGAAACAATGTTATGATGCGTAACAGCAGTAGCATCTAAAGTTTATCTACTTTGCTTGTAAACAAACTGTTTTGGTTTAATAAAAGCCTTCAATGAAGATTCAAGATTATGCAGAGGCAGTTTTTTCTGTTATTTTCAAAAATCGTGCCGTAACTGGTTAATAGTCTACAATCGAATTTTCTAGGGATCTGTCAGACTCTGGTAATACCATGATGAGAGCTGGCTGCAAGCCGAAATTGTAGACAACAATTTACGTCAATGTTTACGTCCCGAATCGGGGTCAGGAGAAAAAAACAATAACAAAGCTTAACTTAACTTGAGGGGCTCACCAACCAATCACAGCAGACTTAACGTGTGCAAATACTATTCGCAGATATATGGCTTAACTTTCTAAGAAACGGTCACAAGCAGTACAGAGTAGCCTTCAGCAGGAAAACAACCAATCAGAAGACATTGCTTCTCCACTAACAATAAGGCTAATAATAATATACATAAGAATAAATATCTGTTGATTTTCTCAATAAACGATCTGTTACCTGCCCCTTGTCTTCTGTCGTTACAATACTAGATGTTATAATTAACACTGAAAAGTATTTTTTCATCCAGTCAGTTCATTGATGTTCTGCTTTCATTGTGTCTTCCGTTTTGTTATTTCTACTCTACAGCACACAAATCGTTTATATCCTTATCCTATTCTTCGAAATAAACCAGCCTACAATGATAATATCTTTCATGATAGTTATTCTATCAATAATAAAACCATAAATAAGTGTGAACAATCTCCCTGTAAGAATTGGTATACTGAACTGTTTAACGCATCGGATAAAACTCACTCACTACTACCACTGTTAATATGTGATTTACTGCCCTTCGACCAGTTGATACTGAATTATTCAATTACATCGTATGAAACTGCTGTAGAATGGATGAACAAATGTCGTAATATCTTCAAAACTTCTAAAACTACTGTCAGTCGTGATCAGAAAAGTATTCAAGAGAAAACTAAAGGTAAGTGGTTATAAATTATTTAAGAACACAATATTCAGCGAGGAAACTCTTTTCAGCGAATTTATTATCAAGCTGTACAATCGTATATATATGGATTTTATAAAAATTATATCCGTTATCTGCGATAAAAATGTAATTCTTGATGATGTCTTGTTTGCTTTCAACAACTGCCATCCTTCTTTACAGTTTACCATTGAAAAGGAGTCCAAACTAAGCATTCCCTTGCTTGATGTGTGCCTTAGTACACCTAATGACGGATCTCTCAAAAAATCTATCCACCGGAAACGTACATGGAGTGGACAACTAAATAATTTTTAGAGTTGGATGTCTATCTCCAGGAAAAGGAACTTAATTCATTCGCTCTGCTCTAGGATAAGGAACATTTGTAGTTCTGATTGCATTGACTCAGAACTTGACTTCTTAAACGCCTGGGCTCGCAGAAAATGGTTACCCCAACCGATTTATTGACAGCAACCGACACAATTCCAAAGAAAACCTTATTCATGAACTTGGAATTCAAAGGTGATCAAGCTTCAGATATGCTGAAAAACAGTCTCTCTAAATCAGTTAGTAAGACGTTCTATGCAGCAAAATTACAAATTACCTTCACCAGCCGCAAGTTGTTCTCCATCTCTGTAAAAGATAAGCTACCCCGTCTGGCCGCCTCCATGTGCATCTATCAGTTCACCTGCTCCTGTGGAGCAAGGTACATTGGCCGTAGACAGAGGACGCTTTCCACACGGATACGAGAGCATATTCCAGCAGCATGGTTTTACAAGGGAGAAAGGAAGTGTGTGAGAAGCTCTATTTTGGAACACCCGATCGACTTCTGTCACTCTGTCAACCCTGATCATGATTTTAAGATCATATGTAGAATCCATGCTAACTTCCCGCGTTTTCTAAGACAGCGGAGGCCTTGGCAATTCATGACTTTAAGCCAGACCTTTGTGTACAAAAGAAGTATGTACAATCCCTACTTCTGCCTTGGCCGTAGAGGGATAGACATTCATTTATTTTATTTTGTTTATTTAGTTATTCTATGTACCTTTCCCTCATTACTACGATTATTATTAATATTATTATCATTATTATTATTACTATTCTCACTCTGAATTGTTTCCACTTGTCCCACTTGTCATTCTAAACCCAAAATTATTATTTTTTTATTTTTACAATACTGAATTCTATCTTATCAAATTTCACACCGTTTTATGTGACATTTTATATTCGCCTACTAATCCTATAATTGTGTACCCCTTTCCAAAATCTATACACCTTATGTATTATTCTATATACGACATTAACTATTTTGCCACTTGACATTTAACTATGATAATAATCACAAATATTTTAATTGCATTTCATACTATTATTATTATTTCACGTATTCATACCTTTGACCTAATTCCCTCACCGGATATAATTTCTTAATAAAAGAAACCATATATATGTACGATTGTACAGTTTGATAATAAATTCGTTGAAAAGAGTCTCTTCGCTGAATATTATGTTCTTAATATTTTAGTTAAGCCTGATGAGATCTAATTAAAAACAGCAATATTGTTCGCTTATATGTCTTTTTTTCTAATCAACATGAATGTATAAACTGGACGATAAGTGGCGGAAGTACAGCAAACTGTTTATATTATAAAATCTGCATAAAAATCTTATGCTAATAAGAAATCATTAGACGGGGATTTTTACTATCCTCTTTCATGAAAAATATTGTAGACAAACAAGATTATACGAATAAAGAAAATGAATTCATCGGAAAGTGCCTCTTTGCTGAACTATGTATTTGGCTTTAACTGATGTCTGCATGGAGACTATTCATGCATTTCATGGTATCATTTTATCCTGCAAAAACTGCAGTTCTTGCTTAATTCAAAAACATTTTGAGACAACTCATAAAGTCTTGTGAAGGCAAAAGTGCTGTATGAAGAGTTGTCATCGGTTTTTAAATAAGTTTTGCATTTCCCACAGATTGATTTTATTGATATGTTGGCGCCTAGTACGGATGCTTCGACAATGTTCAAGGAAATAATATGATGTTATTCTGACTGGTGGTGAGTAGCAGTGGGACACAGATTGTTGAGCATTTTGTTTGGTTTTGGCAACTCATCAGGTGGATTCTCAGTGATTGATGAGACATATTAACATAGATTGTGTATTTCTGCCCAATAAATAATTATTCTTTCTCCAGCCTTCATTGACTCACGGGTTCAATGGATAAAGTTTTGGCGTTTGAAGTAATGTGTGAGGGGATAGAGTTTAAGAGGGAATGTCATCACCTGCTGAGGACTACAAGCCCACCCAGATGAGTAGTCTAAAAATACAAGGAAATTCTAATCCTGGATTCCACTGCTAGATATTATTTGATGCAGGACTAGTGGGGAGTAAAGATGTTGAATTTGTTAACTAATTTGCATATTCGGGAGGTTGGACTAACCGTAATGGACTGATAATTGATACAATTTCAGAGTGAGTAAAAAACGGTCAGTCCGTATCATGTTTAGTGTAATCCGAATACGATGGAAATCGTCAAAATCTGTCCTAGATTAAGTTAAAATGCTGTTAAATTATGCAGAACCTTTAGGTCAAACATATAGAATTGTAGAAATAAAGAAAGATACATGGTTTAAGTAACAATTCGTACTCTCGGTTTCAAATTATACCTTTCATAATTTAGCCTGAGTGTATAAAATGATTTGGCTGTCTAATCTGAATGAAGACCCTCAACGGCCGCCGAAATACAGGATCTTGCTTAGGATTTGCAATTCTTAAACAAGGTGAAATACACATCCTGACTCAGTGGATCATAAATTCGGCTAGCATATACATCAAAACGTCTTAGGTGATCAAATGTTGTCTTCATGAAAGCAACGTGTACATTTAAAGTGAGTATACTTCGGTATTTTCCTGGTAGAATCTTCACCAGTCACTCATAAGGTCTGGATTCGATTACTTGCTAATGCACTCGGAAATCCCACTGACATTTAAGGTGAAAAAAGGATGAAGATTCAGGCTGAGGCTAGCAACCTCACCCGGTAAAAATAAAAAACACGAAGAATACCGAAACTCCAATGCTTGGAGCCCTTTTCCGCTCGAAACACGGAGCGAAAGGAAAAATACAGTGAGTGAATATCATCAAAGCTCGGATATAACAGTTGTGGTCACTGATATTATTATTATACCCTTAGGTTCTGAGTGGAATATAGGGCTTCAACAACTATCTTCACTTTGTTCTGTTTTCTACTGTCCACTTCATCTGGGTCCACGATCGACCATAATTTCTCATTTCGCCCTCCTCGCCACACTATCTCATTGATGTCAGCCTCACACCGACTGCCCACCCGCCGCTTCCTATTTAGTTTATACTTTAACGATGACCTGCATTGTGCAAGATGTCATTCGACAGCCTTCTCAGTGTATGCCCGATTCATCTCCGTTTTGTTCTACAAATGATTTGAGCGATTGGCTCTCGCCTGTTGATTTGTTGCCAGCCAGAGTTTCTTGTTGCTTTCTTTCTGCCTAGCCAGCTTACTGATCTTCAGTATGGAGCCAGCGAAGTGAGCAGCTGTTGATAAAAGTCTGTAACGGGCTATTGAAAATGCTGGCCAAGCTTCTGTCCCCTATTGAAAAACTGACTGACTGACTTCACATTAATGTTGATAATCCGAACCTTGTTCTTCATGTTGGCTCAGTGAGTTCAGACGATTTCCAAACTGGTTTCAGATTGATGAAGGCGTATCTTACCTTTCTAATTCTCACTGGCTGGGTTTTACATCTTCATGCGTTCCGACTGCTTGTGGTTGAAACGATGCTTCCTGGCCAAATAAGTAAAAGAAGAAACCCCATTCAAATCTCTCCCGTTGATGATAGTGATTAGTGCTGGTTGTTGTTATTGTTGTTTTTGGTTGATTATCTTCATCACTCAACTCCGTCTCGTCTATGTTCACCTGGAGTCCTGTCTTAACTGCTAGCCTCTTCTGCTACTTTGTTGATTTTCGCCTGCAAGTCTTCGAGTTTGTGTGACATAAGACACAAATCATGTATGAAATCCAGATCTTCTACAGTTACTTATTATCTTCTCATGACCATGCACAGTCCGACGCATAATCCAGTCCACCACAATTAAGAATATCATCAGAGATAATCAGCAGCCAGCTTGTCTTACTCCTGTATTCACTTCGAAAGCCTCACTGAGTTTTCCGTTGTGGATCACCTTATACGTGACACTGTAGTAGCAGTTTTAGCTTTCTGTGACTGATAAAGACTATTAAGAAACTTTATACATTGGACTCTCCATCAATACTCACTCACGACCCCAGCGCTGTAGTTCGAACCTAGGTCCTTCACGTTGCGATGTGAACACGTTGACCAATCAGCCACTGTGACGGAATCCAATGATCCAACAACTTCAGTTTCCATAGATTCTCACTTTTAGCAACACAACTGGCCAATGTCATCAAACAATATTTGTTCTTACATATCCGACCGGGTGTGTCCCGCTGGTCATGTCTTCTCATTAGAACTCTAGGCAACCGTATCCTGTAGGTCAGTCATCTGTGAGCGTCAGTTCAATTTTCAAATGTTAGTTTGTGTAAATTTGATTTGCTCTCACTCCTCGATCAAATTTGAAAACAATCTTTTATTCAAATGTCGTTATTATTACTCATAACCAAATAAGTAGTGTTTTTTTCTTTCTTCCATATCAAAGATGTAGGTGATTATCTGAATCAGTGTCTTCTAGCACTGAGTTATTTACCTGAGTCGAATACCAATCTCCAACCGTTACCTAAAGGTTAGTAATTTGCTGATCTGTTTATTCGACAACAGTTTCTTTAAAGCTTCTTTTCTTACTGAATTCCACTTTATTATGTTGTGTATCTTTATGTCTTTCATACTGTTAATTTGCTTACTACATCAAAGCAGGTGAAATTTTCACTTATCGAAATCATTATTTCAGTTTTCTGTTGACTGATCCTACTGTTGTTATTATTATCATTTATTATTCGCTTGGGTTCCAAGTGGAACATATGGCTTCAACAACACATCTCCACTTTCTTCTATTTTCTGCTGTCGTCTTCATATGGCCACCCGATTGACCATAATCTCTCATCTCCTCCATGTCATCCTCACACCGGTGACCCACCCCCCGCTTTCTACTGGGATTCCACCTTAAACAGTGGTCCGCATTGACAGCGATCTCATTTGACGACCTGCTCAATATATCGCTGATCAACCCATCTCCCTTTTTTCTGCATATTTGTTGAGCTATGGACTCTCGCCTGTTGGTTTGTTGCCAGCCAAAGTTTCTTGATGTTAATTGTTTCTGGTAGGCCGGCCGGGCATTTGATCTTCAGTTTGGAGCCGATGAAGTCAGCAGCTGTTGATGAAAGTCTGCAATATGTTGGAAATCCTGGCGGAAGAAGCAGAAAGCAAAGACAGGACTCCTGGTGAACATAGAGAAGACGGAGGTGATGAAGATAACCAACCAACTAACAACAACAACAACCAACACAAATCATCATCAGCGGGGAAGATTTGACAGAGGTTACTTCCTGGCTTCACTTATCTAGGAAGCATCGTTTCAAACAAAGGCAGTCGGAACGGATGAAGAAGTCAACACCAGCCAGTGAGAATCAGAAAGGCAAGATACACCTTCATCAACCTGAAACCAGTTTAAAAAGCTTCTGTGTTGACTTAGCATGAGGAACAAGATTAGGATTTTCAACATAAATGTCAAGTCAGTCGGTTCTTCTATGCGGAGTAGAAACTTGGCGTATCACATTTGATGCTGTTGACTGGAATATTTCGTCTGTGATGAAATATCTTCTCTTATTATGTCGTCTTCGATGATGTCTTTCTGAAGTTGCTTGGTTGATAGTAACGAGCTGTAGATTTCAGGAGGTTTCTTGTCTGAAACAGCGGGTTCCAGTCTCAATGAGAATACTATCAACCATTGGGGATACGTGTACATCTTTCTGACAAGTCACAAATCAGATGAAGCGTGCTCCTTAGATTCCATAGCTAGTCACCAGCAATCACATAACTTTGCTCTTTTTCAATAGTTCTGCGAATCTGTTACTAAAATGGAATAGAGAAGTGAAATTTCCTAATTAGCCTCAGTATATATGTACGCAGTATATGCGCGTTACTTGACAATGGTGTTCAATTTGAAAATTATTCACACCAATCACAAATTGGCAGAAGTTAAAGCTCATGATCTGGCCGTTGAGTTGGTTCCCAGTGACTGAATAGCCTTCGAGCTTGTCTTGTAAACGGAAAATGCTGGATTCGAACCCCAATGGGTGCTTATTGCCAATGATTTCCAAACTACGGCGAAACAGATGTCCGATACTCCCTAATGGTTTTCAATGCTTCTCAAAGTGATATCAATCCCTGATCAAATTCGAAAAAATTCAGATCTCCACAAGCTAGCTCATCAAAACCTATGATTCAGTTGACCACTCAAATTACAGCTTCCACTTAGACCTTTGTATGAGTAAAATATAGCCTCAAAGGTACATGTAATAGTAAAGTTATTCCTGTCAAAATAACTTATTGTAGCAGAAATGACTTTTTTCTGCCGTTTGTTTATTTTCCAGTTAACGAAGATGATGTTAAAAATTTCCCGCTTTCAAAGATGGATGAGATTGCTATCGATTGGACCATACGGTAAGTTTATTGCTTGTCTGAATTCAGACACATTTTTTGTATTCATAAATCCGTGAAGTTAAACTATGGCAACCGAAACTACAGTGACTTTGAATAATCATTGATAACTCGGTTGCAGAAAAATTAGTAAAACTGTTGGGAAAAAATGTGTTAAAAGACATTACGAACATGATTTGACACTGGATAGTTATCTCATTTGTGTTTTAAGTATATTTCCAAGTCACTTTAAGCATTATCCCATGAAGAAATCATACTATGCATGAAAGATGACTGATCAGATCAGTGATCAGCAGATCATTGTTCTCTGGTGGGATCTATTGATATTCCTGACAATATTCTTTAGTCTACCCCTAACCCTGTAACCTAATCCCAACCATAAACCCTAATCGTAACACCACTTAACAATAAAGATTTGTAGAAAAATGTATTTAGAGAATAAGCACCATCAACAGTTTGATTTGGGATGACCTTTCATTGGGTTCCTCAAATCTGAATGGTTCTTGAAGGTCAATTGTCAACTATGGGAACTTGACTTTGGCTGTCATTGTTTTAACCCCGTCCATAAATCTCTCTCAGATTGAGAACAATCGAAAAAAGAGGTCTAATTATTTGCACTATTGTCTAGAATTTTTCAAAAGTGAACATTTTCAAAACTGAGAGTTTAAAGATTTCAGAGGTCAGAGGTTATTGTCAGTGAGTAGCTAAATAATTCAAAGTATATGAGAAATAACAAAGCGTGCAAAAATAGCGAATGATCTTCGCATAATCGAGAGAGTTGACAGCTGACTAGTTAATTGATGGAAAATCATTAGGGAAAAAATGACAAAAAACAGGAGAACACAGGTTGGAAAATGAGTTACACAAAGATAAAGTGACTACATAGAGTTTGTTATGCAATAATTCAAGAAAATAAACTAGAAAATAAAGCCATGGTAATGAAAGAGGCTGGATAAGGCGTTTCTGCGCGTAGAGTTCAGATTCTTCATAATGGATTGATGCAGCTTCGGCTGTATGAAGAAAATGTAAGCGAAATCCTTTTGAATGACTTAACTGTTCTTTATATTTTTTATTTTTATTTAAACACAAAATATTTGGTACAATATGGCACCAAGAAGATGAGCCACACAATAATAATAAAACAATATACATTAAAAGTAAAGATATAGGTAGAGAACGGATAAAGTACTTCATCTGGAAGGAAAACAGTCATCTTTAACAAGTTCAAACAGCATTCTTCAATTATCGTCGGGAAAGGGAAGAAAGAAGGAAATTGCAGCATATTCGCCATTGATGACTGTGATTCTTGGCAATATCCGATAGCGTTTCGAGCCACCGATTCCAGCTATCTCTAGGACTTCAACCAGGGAGTCATGACGCACCACTGATGCTAACCTAACACAAATATCCTTCATCCCACGACGCTACTTCATGGGCTGACCACCTAACTCAGTCCCGTCCCAAGACTAGTGAACAGAGACTTGTACGGAGGTCCTTGGGTTGACATTTGTAGTACATGTCCAAGCCACAAAAGCCGGTGTCTCCAGATGACGATACTCAATGAATGTCGATCTCCGCTGTGTCCAAACACACGCCGCTGGACCTCAGAATTGCTCATGTGATAATGCCATCGAACTTAAGCAATTCTACGGATACAGCGATAATCGGACACGCTGAGTCGCCTCATATCCTCAGCGTAGAGTGAAACAGCACGCATCAAAGCATTGTAACCCAGACCTTTGATAGTCAGGCTAACGTGGCGATGGTGCCAGAGTTGGCTCAATTTGCCGTATGCCACCGTATCTTTCATTATGCAGATGGAAATGTCATCTGTCACCCCTATGGCAGCACTCACACAACTACCAAAATACACGAACTTATCGACAACCTCAAGCGGTTCAACCTTCAGAGTGAGTGCAGGTACACACTCCTGCCAATCTTGTAACAGTACTTTGCACTTAGACGGCGTAAAGCACATTTGGGCAGCCTGCATGCTATCACACAGTAAGATGATATCATCTGCATACTCGAGGTCAAAAAGTCTTTCTTCAGGGAGAAGATGTGCACCACCTTCACGCACATCCTTCAGAGTTGACTCAAGAATGTCATCGATTGCAGAGTTAAAGAGAAATGGAGAGAATGGGTAACCATGTCTAACCCCATTGTTGGTTAGGAATAGTGATGAGAGTTGCTTGTATACCCTCACTCTACCTGAGGTGTTTCTGTATATAGGGCTTTTAGGATGTTCACAAACTTCTTTATATACGACGTCGAATGAAGTCCCTGTTAATGCTGTGTGACCAGAAGTAATAGTATGCTCCAGAATTGCGCTGTTGACTATGCTGCATTTTTTCTAATACACCGATTTATTTTGTTATTAACTGAGAATAATCTTTGACTTTTGTTGTGGATTAGCATTGTGCATTTACAAATCCCTAAGTAAGCGTACAACTTTGAAGTGAATTGACAAAGAGAAGAGATCTCTTCGTTGACTTGAACGTCCTTAGTTACATTACACGGGAAATTTCTATATCTTCATTGCTATCATCAATTTTCAATGGTTCCTTCTCTGGCATTAATTTTTCATGATCACAATTGTATAAAGCAAACTTCTGTTATAAATACTTCCCCTTTTTCTAATAGTTATGGTCAACGAATTGGTTTACTGCAAAGATCTCAGTCAAATCCCAGTGAAGATTATAAGTATTTCTACGAGCAACTGCATATTCTTATGCGTACAGTTCGTTTATCCTTTCAGAAAGAAGATCAATCACTCTCTAGACAAAAAGATCAAGGTTAGTTTAGCTTATCCAATTAGTTCGCTTGATTTTAATGACTTAATTTTCTGGACTAGCTGTTTGTGTATATGACTGTTGAGGCCCACCAGTCATATACAGTCATTGTACAGAAACACGATTCAGCGGGATTTATAGAACAGGTTCACTGTTTGCTTGCCTCATCGTTTATCGTGGATTTTTATTATCATTTTGTGTTCCAAGTGGAACTTTAAGCTTTGAGGTTTCAGCGATGTTATTCAAGAAGAGTTAAACCTTAAGCACCAGTAAGTACCAATGGAAAAACGACCTCGTACGCATCAACCACATGAAAGAGGCGATTTTAGCTTATACTATGTGTATTTACACCTCAAAATAATCAATTAAAAGGCCTGAAACTGTTGCACAGGATACCCTCCTCTGGCATGTGATAGATATACTTCTCAGTTTTGGAATGCAGAATCAACAGAGTAATTTAACTACATTCTATGCATGTAACTATCTAGGTCTTCTAACCCTAACCTAACTCAAACCAACCCCTAATATCGTCCTAATTAGGCGAAATTAACCCTACTTGTCCTTAGACTAAATCTTAATTTAACCATCACCAAAACTAAACTGAAAATTTCCATGTATCACATTTAATAATATAACGCTGCGCTAAGCACGTTTCATTCATGATTACAATACTGTTTTCTATAGTTGGTTTGTGAGGATAAGCTCTAAGTTTACGAATTGATCACGACTGATATCAGTTAGAGAACCATTGAAAACCAATCAGGGAGTACTGGACAGCTGCTGTTTCATCCTAGTTTAGGAATCATCGACAGCACGCACCCACTGCGATTCGAAACCAGGACCTTCCTGTTACAAGGCGAGCTCGTATTAATTTGATGCTTGCTGGTGACTGTCTACAGGACGGAGTTTCCTGGAGTTCTAGTGAGAAGTCGTGACCAGTGAAGTCCATCCAGTCAAGTAACTGTAGGGTCCTTTGTTCGAACTCCAGTGGGTGCGTACTGCCGATGATTCCCAAATTAGGATGAAACAGCTGCCCGGTACTCCCTGCTGGTTTTCAATGGTTCTCTAACTGATATCAATCCGTGATCAACTCGTAAAAACAATATTATTTATCAGGTTTCACTAGCTTGCTCACTGAGCATTACAAGATCATTGTTGAGATTGCAATCAACTGGTACTTACTGGTGCTTTTAGTTTAACTTAACCGTTTAACTCCAGGGTTGCCACCCAGAAGGTTTAGCAGTGTCTCATTCGGAAATCGAACATAGACCTACCGATAAGTTGCCAACCGTTTGCCTCGTAACTTGGCTTCTATCCTCATAATGAGCATAGATGATTGCTTCTGCAGACTGACAAATGAGGACGGGTCAGCTCTCCAGTATTCCATGCTGGCTTTCAATGGTTATCTGACTGAAGTCAGTTTGTGATCAACCTTAAAAGTTAAAGTTATAAATATTTTAAATATTTAGTGTTGACGATTGATTTGGTCTTATGGAATCAGAGTTCACGTAGTAAGAAATATAGTCGGAGAGTACTCAGACTACATATTGGAGTATGTGATTGGAATTCTGAGCTACAGACCTTGGCAAAAGCATTCGATTACGGGGAAACTAAGAGTAACCAGACAAAGGAGGTAGATATTTCATCGGAAATGCTAATTAAGCACAAATAAACATTTTATGAGTCAGTCATAACGAAAAGATGTAAACAGTGGAAAACAATTTTCTTTTTGACGATTCATTTTCAAAAGCTGTACACTCGCATTTATTATATTCAACAAAGAATTTGTAAGATCGATTAGAAAGCGGCAAATTTGTTCTAGAAAGTTTTTGCATAATGTCAGGTGTATTCTAGAAGGGGATGACAAATTGGAGACTTGAGGAAAAGGGGAGGCAGAATTTGAAATTCATGAATAGTCTCCATCCAGACATCAATTAAAGCCAAACACATGGTTCAGCGAAGAGGCGCTTTTCGATGATTCTTTTATGTACAACTTTTTGTTAAATATTTCACAAAGGATAGTAAAAATCCCTGTCTAATGATTTATTATTAGCATTAACAGTTTACTGTACTTCCGCCACTTATTGTCCAGTTTATACATTCATATTGATTAGAAAAAAAGACATATAAGCGAACAATATTGCTGTTTTTAATTAGATTTCATCAGGCTTAACTATAATATTAAGAACACAATATTCAGCGAAGAGACTCTTTTCAACGAATTTATTATCAAACTGTACAATCGTACATATATATGGTTTCTTTTATTAAGAAATTATATCCGGTGAGGGAATTAGGTCAAAGGTATGAATACGTGAAATAATAATAATAGTATGAAATGCAATTAAAATATTTGTGATTATTATCATAGTTAAGTGTCAAGTGGCAAATTAGTTAATGTCGTATATAGAATAATACATAAGGTGTATAGATTTTGGAAAGGGGTACACAATTATAGGATTAGTAGGCAAATATAAAATGTCACATTAAACGGTGTGAAATTTGATAAGATAGAATTCAGTATTGTAAAAATAAAAAATAATAATTTTGGGTTTAGAATGACAAGTGGGACAAGTGAAAACAATTCAGAGTGAGAATAGTAATGATAATAATGATAATAATATTAATAATAATCGTAGTAATGAGGGAAAGGTACATAGAATAACTAAATAAACAAAATAAAATAAATGAATGTCTATCCCTCTACGGCCAAGGCAGAAGTAGGGATTGTACATACTTCTTTTGTACACAAAGGTCTGGCTTAAAGTCATGAATTGCCAAGGCCTCCGCTGTCTTAGAAAACGCGGGAAGTTAGCATGGATTCTACATATGATCTTAAAATCATGATCAGGGTTGACAGAGTGACAGCAGTCGACCAAGTGCTCTAGAATAGAGATAGCTTCACACACCCTTCCTTTCTCCTTTTTAAAACTATGCTGTTGGAATATGCTCTCGTATCCGTGCGGAAAGCGTCCTCTGTCTACGGCCAATGTACCTTGCTGCACAAGAGCAGGTGAACTGATAGATGCACACGGAGGCGGCCAGACGAGGAAGCTTATCTTTTACAGAACTAGAGAACAATTTGCGACTGGTGAACGTCGTTTGTAATTTTGCTGTAAAGAATGTCTTACTGACTGCTTTAGAGAGACGGTTTTTCAGCATATCTGAAGCTTGATCACCTTTGAATTCCAAGTTCATGAATAAGGTTTTCTTTGGAACTGAGTCGGTGACCAGTTAAGACTGCTTATCTTTCATGTTGCTGTCAATAAATCGGTTCGGGTAACCGTTTTCTGCGAGCTCGTTTAATATTTCGTGGATTCTCTCTCGTCAACTGCTTACATCCTAAATAAATCAATAAGATGTTACAAAATGGTGTGTGAACATACTTTTTACAATGACTTTAGGTCATTCATAGAAAGTATAGGCAACATAATTTCAAACATGATGTAAGTCGACAGTTATTCAGTGTTAAACGATTAACTGTCTTTTAACTATCTAGCTACATAAAGGGGGAAGATTTCTTTCGGAAACAAGGATGGACTAGAGACAAAATACAAGGTAAAACAACTGGGTGAAATTATACACATTATGTTGGAAAGTACAGGAGGGTAGGGGGTGAATAGCGAAGTAAAATTATTAAATGATTTAATTAAGTAGATTTGGAAACTTGATAGTGAGTTAAACTCAGTGAGTGAAAATCGAAATCAAGACTGACTGAAATGTTACACAACAGAACAAAACATAAAAGGACACGAACAAGATAATTATGGTTACCAGAGTAGGGTAGTGAGAGATTAGTCACACTCTCTTTCTGTATGCATAGATTGGGTCGAAGTCTTTTGATTGCAATTATTATTATCATTATGATTGTTTCCTTAAATTTCTAGAGGAACACAGGGATTCAGCCGTGCATCTCCAATACGTTCGGTTCTCTGCTAGAGTCTTCACCTGGCTCCAAGTCTGCAAACACGTTTTCATCTCCTCTTCACATGACCTCCTCCAAGTCACCATTGCATTGACGACCAACTTACCGCTTCCCTTTCGGGATCCACTTGAGCTATGGCTTGTCTAGTGATGTCACTTGATGGTTTCTTTAGAGTATGGCCAGCCAATCCATCTCCATTTCTTCCTGCATATTTGTTTCACAATCGGTTCCTGCTGTGTTGGTTCGCTCATTGCCAGAGATCTCTGTTGCTGATCTTTTCTGGCCGGTCATCTGATCTTGAGTATTGAGCGGAGATAGCTAGCTGTTGGTGAAGATCTGTAGTTTGTTTGAGATGCTCTTTTGATTGCAATGGTTTCTATGAACCGAAGTGTATTGATTATTTTGAGAAGGGTTTAACGCCTTGAAAAAAACAGACTTTTAGGGATATGCTCTGAGAATCTAGTAGACGCTTTCCTCTCAAGACTGATATAAGATGTAGACAGTTGAAGAGAACCCACAAAATAGAAAATGGGCTCGTATTATCGTGACTGCAAATATGTTCATTCTTTCTTTATTCAAACTAATAACTAAGGGGACCGGCTGTATGAAAGTATGCACTTTTCAATGATACTGGATACATGTTAATAGTTAGTGCTACGTTTCATTCAAATTGAAAATGCTTGAATCTCTGAAGAAGTGGATTTTGACATTTAAATGTCGGATTCAGCAGAAACAAGTCACGTATAGATCAGATGCCTACATTACGGATCATCATTGAACAAAGCTTGGAATGGCAGTTACCTCACTATCTCAACTACATCGACTTTGAAAAAGTCTTCGACAGCGTCGATCGAGAGGTGTTTTGGCAATTACTTCGCTACTATAGGATGCCACCGACAATTATACATCTCATCCAACAGCTGTACGACAATGCTGCATGTCAAGTAATCCACAACGGGAAACTTACGGAATCCTTCGAAGTGAGGACAGGAGTAAGACAAGGCTGCCTACTATCGTCAATGATTTTCATGACTGCAGTAGATTGGATAATGCGACAGACGGCGGGCAATGAGGAAAC